AAACTTACAACTTTGAGTGAAATGCAGTAATTGCGCATCATGAATATTGGAGGTTGATCGGATCATTCACCATAATCACAACCACTGAATAATTTACAGAAAGTGAATGTGAAGCAATGAAAATCTCATTTTTCCAAATGAACATCTCATTTTTCCTTCATCATGATTCAATTCTATATTATAAAAATAAGCCCTAGTTCTAATTCACTTCTTTAGACTTCCCTATATACCCAAAACCAATGATTTCGGAGATATTCTATAAAAATAACACTCAATTCTGCATAATAACTGCCTGGAATTTTGGCTGTGCATATAACCGGAATCTTCACAATAACGGAAATATTTCAGATAGATATAGGTCGCGGTAATTCATGAGCTTAACCACAGTGCTTAACCCTCGGCTTAACCCTATATTTGATGCAATTAGATTTTTTTTGTCCAGTTCACTGGCATCTCTGGATCGAAAACATGCTTCACTTCACACTTCAACAATTGACTATCTAGTGATTCTAGTGTGTGTGTATGATTTTTGAGGCGGAAAAAGGATGCCCAGTGAAAAGTATTGTACTCGGTATTGTCTCTTCTACTGTGAGATCTGGTAATTTCCTGTTACAACTGAACATGAATCAGTAAAGGAGTCTATACTGATACTGGTAGTGGGCAAGCATCCTGAAACTTTCAAAAATTGATGCAGTAAGTTTTGGATCAGTGGAGGGCTGATGCGTGAGGGTTAGCCCGAATGTAATCCAATAAAGGCCACAACCCTAGCAGAACTTTTATTTTATTTTTCACCTCGCTCTCCATGACAAATGGAAAGCTTGAAATTTTCACACTTTTTGATATGCAGCTGAGCAGTATAACCCTGAATGCTAAGCTAACCTGGAGTGTGAACATCTACGTAAAACTGTCGACAAAGACAAAATGATATTAGTGGCCGTACAGAGGGCTATAAGGGGGCTGTGCTGGAGCTTTCAAAACTCGAGAAACTGGCCTGAAGTTGATGATCGATGTCTGCGAGCTGGCTTGTCCGAGAATTACAAGTGCATTACGTTGCAATTCATTCTTCCCCTTCATCTTCACATTATGGCAGAAGCGAAAATAGAAGTATACAGATTTTAACGCTGAAATGAATAGCATAATCACAAGCTCAATGGAGGAGTGATATATTGAGATGAAAGAATGATAATCAACTACCAGGAAGGAACGATAGGTGAGTACAATAATGGGTCAAAAATTGAATTTAGGTAGAAATTCTAAGATACGATACTTCTGCGTCCTTATGGTCTTCTGTCTCAGGATTTCAGGCAGAAGTACATGCTCTTGCCGTGTGCCAGAAGAAGGAGATAGCTAAATGACACAAAAGTAAACAAATCCTCACTGGTTGCAATATTCAGGTGGTTATCAAATCTTCAGAAGGCTCGAAAATCCGAAAATGTTCGGTCTCAATCTACCTTCAGAGCCTGCGACATTATGGTGTTGCGTCTCATCAGTATTCCAGGCAGAAGTACATGCTCTTACCGTGTGCCGAAAGAGATCGCTAAATGACACAGAAGTAAACAAATCTCACTGGCTGCAATATTCAGGTGGTTATCAAATCTTCAAAAGGCTCGAAATCCTGAAAATGTTCGTTCTGGATCTACCTTTAGAGGAGTATCTTTATGTTAAGGTTCTATGGTATGAGGGCATTGGGGGAAATGAAACCGCAGACGCCTCTTCGGATTTCCAAAGACCGCACACTTACTGTTGCCAGGTTCCAGTGAGAAGGCGTAGTAAAATGATTATTGATATTCAATCACCATCAAAAACAGTGGCCAACGGCATTCTGTGTTTGAGCAGAAGTCAGATCAAGAAAATGACGGGATTAATAACGAGTCACTTGTGGACACAACGATGGAAATCTTTGAGTAACACCAATATCAAATAAGCATGTAAATACTGATAAACCAATATGTGGGCCATGTAATAAAGAGAAAGAGACATACTCTAACATACTGTCTGTAGGTTAATCGAGGAGGTGGTACATTCATTATTCCATTTTTTTTTTAATTTTCTCTTCTCGTTTCTATAAAATGAAAATATGAATATTATTTCAATGAAAACTGAAAAGCTTCAAGACAAATACGACTTAGCTATTGAAATAATCATATCTTATGTTGAAAACGGGAGCAGAATCGGCCCCGAAACGTCCAAAGATAAGTGAAAATTTGATATTTTTTCTATATACCTTTATTTCTCTTCTCCAAACTTTTTTCAATACAAATTGTCACTGACAAGCTGATGAATTTTTTTTTTAGGCTCTCTGATAGGAAAATTCTTTGAACGCAGTGACATTTTGGGGCAAATCATCTGATTTGTCCGAGGATTTGTCCTCACTACACGTGTATTGAAATAATATTCATATTTTTATTTTATAGAAACGAGGAGAAAAAATCCCGAAAAATTTGGAATAATGAATTCTCTAACATTTTATTGAAGCACGAAGTACTAACACAGAAGGCCTTCCCGAGTTGATTTTGATATGAAGGTGATAAACCTATTAACCCAAGCCAACAGCGACACAATACGTTTATTTTGACCGAGATTTTGACTTTCAAACGCTAACAATCGTTATTATGAGTTAATCAATTAATCAATCAAACAACGTTTCATTGCCGATGCTCGCTTTCTAATTTTTTAAACAAGTGAGAGTTGTCGAGCATACTCTAATTTTTTTTTTATGTTCTGGTTCCCACAAAAAGGGATATTCTGTAATGTTCAGAGAACATCGTGAGAACCAAGGGAAATATGGTAGGAATTGGCGTTCTTCTTGAATTTCTGGAGGTTATATGCCTCGGGGAACACCTACCTTGGCAATGTGTTCCAGAGCCTCGCTGTTCGTTGGATGAACGAGTCTTTGGAAAGAGATGTTCTGCAGGTCTCCAAAGGGACCACGAAAGGGTGCGAAGCCTCAACTCTACGGGTTAATCTCGTGGGGACTGCCAAGGGCTGAATTTTGAGATAAGCAATGAATTTTGGGAAATAAAATATTGTTCATTGAAAAACACGTATTGAATACACGTTATAAATTCTTCGAAATAATAACGTTAATAATACGACACAGTTAAAGAGTTCGTTTATTAACATATTGATATCTTCATTTTCACAAGTGGATTAACAATGATCTATGTTGATATAACTTCTTGCTTCTCGAAATAATGAGCGTTATGTTATATCCTTCGACATTTTTACCAATTTTCAACACTTGATTATTTTGTTTTTTCAACGTTCTTCAAAGCATTTGGCACCAATTGGTTGTTATTGCACCTCATAATATTGAACTTGACGTCATCAGGATCACACTGTGTTCCAAAGAATCGCGCAAAATTCAATGAATCAGTATTCAATATACCCAAGGTTTATGACAATTAAAGTTCGAAACGTTTTCAGCAAAATTGCTATCGTCAGGAGATGATTTAATTTTTATATGTAATATACCGGGTGACCCGGAACCAATTTACCCCCCTGTATCTTCGTTGTTATTTTGTATGGATGTTTCAAATTCGGTACTTCGATTTGATGTTATGAATTCACAATTTAGCAAGTATCAATCCAAATATGTCACTTCCGGTTTGACCGGAAGCGCATCCAATTTTTATATTTCGAATAGGAGGTATTATTTTTTCTTGAAAATTACAATTCGGTATAGAATTACCTTTACAATGACATATCACAATCATTCTTTCAATTCACAATCTGCTGGTATAATTGACATTTTATAAAAAAAATACTTTTTGTGTTCCCCTCGTAACGGAACATTTTCATGAAAGTATGCTGTGGAAGATTGAACAATATCATGTAAGCAACAATAATTCAATCTTCCACAGCATACTTTCATGAAAATGTTCCGTTACGAGGGGAACACAAAAAGTATTTTTTTATAAAATGTCAATTATATCAGCAGATTGTGAATTGAAAGTATGATTGTGATATGTCATTGTAAAGGTAATTCCATACCGAATTGTAATTTTCAAAAAAAAATAATACTTCCTATTCGAAATATAAAAATTGGATGCGCTTCCGGTCAAACCGGAAGTGACATATTTGGATTGATACTTGCTAAATTGTACATTCTTAACATCAAATCAAAGTACCGAATTTGAAACATCAATACAAAATAACAACGAAGATACAGGGGGGTAAATTGGTTCCGGGTCACCTGGTATATGCATTAAAATACGAAAAAAATGGTAGCCTAGGTGACTTATCTTTCATTCATGTTATCATCGGCAGATACTATAGTATCTGAAAATCCCTGAAATTAAAATACTTCTAAAAGCGAATGACGAGGCGAATGATTAGGAATAAGTACCTTAGTTTTCACACTTCGGAAATCCCGAGCAAAATCCATTATCTCAGATTGTTCAACAATAAATCTAAATATATTGCTATCATAGATATACTCTTCTAGAAATTGGCTAACCTTTATTATAGGTATAGGAAGTAATAAATTTTGTCTTGGCATTTGTAAGACTTTATAGATGTCGGTAAGTATATGTTTATAAACCGAACGAAAGTATATTCCTCGGTTTATTCATTTTCATAAATATAGATATAGAATTTCTCGAAACTACTTCTATTTTAGAAATATTCACTCCTTCTTTCAGGAACATCATGAGAAGAAAATCTCTGTTTGAACTTCAAATTGTACCATTCATTAAGTTCAAATTGAGGTTTGAATCTGAGATGGTTCAGGATATCAGACAATAATTTCTTACACTGCAAGTAGAATCAATTTTCTATTATTCAAACACATAGATACATGAGAGATAATATACTTTTGATAATCAGAGACCGGATGAAAAACAATAAAGGAGCTCATGAATAAAAATAAGTACGATACTAGCGGTGCAGATATCGAATTTCATGAATAAGTGGATCTTTCCAATCACTGAATGAATGATAAAAAATTGGCTCAGTTTGTTCTCAGAATATTTCAAAACCTTGATAATTCTTATTTCCAGTATTCTCCCCACGAAAGAAGACTACAACATCCCTCAGATAGTGAACGAATATGCGGTCAATATACCGGCAGCTTGTCAGGACAGCTCTCCAGAAACGCCTCAGCCCGCCTACGATCCCAAACAGGGATGGATCAACGGCATTTTCGGATGCCTCAGGCCGGTCCTGTCCATCATCGGAAAAGGGGTTAGCGAGAACAAAAATGCCCAAGGTGAGTTGTTTGTATGAATAAAACTATTGAGAATCCTTATGTTTGAGCCAAGCCTGTTTGTGCTCAGAGGTTTTAGAAAAAGGTTCGAAAATAGTCACCAATCGCTGCCATAATCGCTAGAGAAATCACATAGATCTGAGCGTATCTGAGTACAAAATCAGAACTTGCATGCAAGAATGTTGAATGAAGAGTGACATTTGTTGGTCCCATTACCTCTTCTTAATTTGAAATAGGTCTTCTGAACTCCTATTAATGAATTGATCAGAAATTATTCACATGTACAGAGGGTGTCTCATGATATGTGGGATGCACTTTCAGGGGTGATAAAGCATATCTTTCGTTTCCGAGTTACAATGTGTTTGAATTTCAAGATTTTTTTAGTTTTGTTTTCGTTTTTTTCATAGCTTCTGCATCAGTTTTCAGGGATATCACACCTCCTTTTTTCTGAACTTTTTTGTGTGTCACTATAGTGGATTTCAAAATTCGAATTTTTTTTATGTTTTGGTTCCCACGAAAAGGAATATCCTGTAATGTTCAGAGAACATCGTGAGAACTAAGGGAAATAATGAGGTAGGAATTGGTGTTCTTCTTGAATTTCTGGAGGTAATATGCCTCGGGGAACACCTTCCTTGACAATGTGTTCCAGAGCCTCGCTGTTCGTTGGATGAACATTCTGCAGGTCTCCAATGTGACCACGAAGAGGTGCGAAGCCTCAACTCGACGGGTTAATCTCGCGGGTATTGCCAAGGGAGGATATTTTAGAAGAGCATCGTCCATGGAAATATCTATAAAATAGAGCCAGATCGACAACTTTTCCACGGTGTTCCAGAGAAGTGAGTGAGTTTGTGAGCGAGGCATCACCCACGAGACGAATTGCCCTCTTTTGGACAGAAATCCAACAGTTTCAGGGTATGTTTGGGTGCTGCACTCCAAATATGGAAACATTTTTCCAGGACAGGTCGGATCTGTGCCTTATAGATCATAAGCAGCTGACTGGAAGTGAAATAGCTCCTGGCCCGAAACAGAAAACCAAGTTTTTGGGATGCACTTTTATAGCAATTGATCTCACGTGATTTTCCCAAGAAAGGTTATTGCTGATAGTAATACCAAGCATCGAAATGGATGTCTTCAAAGGTATGGTTACTCCGGACAAGCTTATGTTGGGCAGAGTGAGATCGGCTTTTCTAGAGAAAAGGCATGCATGTGTTTTGTTTGCATTGAAATCAACCAAGTTATTGGATCCCCATTCGAAAATTGTTGCCCAAGTCCATATTTATGTTGTCAACATTTCTCCCTCGTTCGTTTCTGATTTGCCTGGCTGGTATTGGAGCCCTGGAAAATACACAATTCATTGTTCAAATCTCGGGTCCGATTATTCCTCAACTTTTATAGTTGTCTATAGTTCAACAAGAAATCGAATGAAAAATCGTTGAAAATGAATAACCTCTTTGGAGAATAAGTAATACTAAATCAAATATAAAACAATATAGTCAATTATGAGATGAACAACTACCTGGAATAGATGAACAAATGAATTGAACGTCGGGAAGAATATTTTCATTGATCTCTAATATTTTCTATTACTTATTGAAAGGAGTACCTAATTTGTTGGTTTATTTTGGGACTGTAAGTTCCCATAAGCAAGTGTCCTACAGCGGATTGAATTTGAAAATAAAAGTATAGATATTCACGAGGATATTTACTCAGTATCATGAGGAGAACGAATCAGTATATTTATATTACCTATCATTCAACTGATGAGAATTCCAGTGGCACTGTTAGAAGGTTATTCTTGCATTTTTATCGAGAGATATGTGCTGGAAATCATCATAATTTCACGTAATTTCTCAAAAAGAGCTTCCGATTTTGTAAAAAAGTATTGCTCTAGTTAAAACACCGTTTTCGAGATAACAACGAACTTATCAGATTATTAGACTCCAAATTTTGATATACACCCAAGGCACCTTGGACACTATACTTATATAAGTCTCGACTTAAGTAGTCTAATTTTGGATTTGGAATCTCGAATCTATGTAACCAAATCTCAGCAGAACATTTATACAGAACATTTTCCTAAACATAGTTCCACAAATTGAAATTCCTATTAATGTTTCCACTCCATTGTAGTATATTATAGTATTGACCAACTTAATTTTCCGACCAGTCAATTTCGAGGTCAAAAGTTCTCATCAACGTATGTCCCAAAATGCATCCTGATGATTCACAAGTATAAAACTATCATGTTCTTATACATTTTTCTCTTTCAGATGACTGGGAAATACCCTTCGAACAAATCACCGACCTCAAATTCCTGGGTTCTGGGGGACAAGGCGCTGTCTTCTCAGGAATGCTCAACAATACTGCAGTGGCTGTGAAAAAAGTTTCTGATCTCAAAGAGACGGATATTAGAAATCTCAGAAAATTGAACCACCCTAATATCGTCAAGTTCAAAGGTAGGTAACATATAGGTAAAAATTTTGTTTTTCATAATAGAGAAGGTCCTACATTTTTAAATGTCCAATGCTTAGTGGAATTTATATTCTTGTGAGTATTTATGATCAAGCCATTTATAGTTATATTTAACCAACCAGTGTATTAATGAGGGCGATTATGCTTTGCGTCTCGCTTCGCTCTTAAGTTAAAATATTTCGATAATTAATCGCCATATTAATATACGAGTTGGTTATAAACATTTTCCGTGGATTATATTTCTCCTATAAAATGAAGAAAACTTGTTTCGCGAATTCATCATTCATCCGGAAACTACTGATAATCACACAGTAGCCCTGAATAGTCAACTTGTCACTGACATCAGTGACATTTGACATATTTATCGGAATAACATGGAAAATAAATTCCTTTTGTTAGAAAACAGAAATTAAAATCACTTGAGAAATGTGAAAAGGCTTACCCCTTAACGTAAAATCTTCGGTGATATCCATATTTTCGTTTTGAAAGCAGATTCCGTAAGTTATAGTACCACAGTGAATAGACGCAGTGTATTTTTGGTTGCCTATACTACAATCATGCATTAATAGACAAATTGATCACTAATAGGGATCATTAACGATCAATTTCATAAACGTTAAACATAGGTAGGAACTCGTTAATACGAGGTCGGCGGAAAAATATATAGGTAACTAGTTTTTCATGTGAGTGTCATATAAATCCTCATCATCGATACCAATGGGGCCTAACAGTTTTAGTCTCACCAGTTGGCGTTACTAGAACGTGAAGGCAATTTCAAAGTGAAAAGTACCAGAATTTTACCGGTATGCCCTGAATGTGACCTGTTGTATCGTCGAAAATATTCTGAAAAAGTGAACAAAAAGTTATTGTTAGACTTGAGTAGACTCGTTTTTTACTCTCAATGTATAATGCACAATTTTTGCATTAACAGAGAAGGATATATCATAGCAAGAGGCCATATAGGCACCTATCAGTATCAACTCTGACCTCACGTCTTAGTAGCGAGTTCTGGTTGGCAATAAATAATGTTAGCCCTCATTATGAAGCAAGCAAATATTCGAAAATAACATATCCATTTGACGTTTGAACATATTTCACATTGATATACATGTCGAGTGAATAGGTAAGGTTGTTCCAATGGAAAATGAACATGCTAGATGTCATCCAGCCTTTCATTTCCCCACATTCGATGGATCTTTTGCCCTTCATCACCTACGGAATGTTATCTAAAATTTTCATTAATGATTAATAATTTTCGAACCATCCTCCCAGCAGCAGCTCTATCACTGCTGCATTTCAAATGTTCCATGTTTCATCACAGAGTTGTTCCCATCAGAGATATAGCATAGATGAATGTCCGCCTCAGATGAAATTACAGACTTTTATCAGTGATGCAACATCAGACTTGAATAAGATATGATCATGTGAGATCACAGTGATGACTATGACTCTACATAGCATTCATGGAGCATGCCAGAGACGTTTTTAACAAATCTCTGCATTGGCTCCATCCCTATACATCCATAAATTCATACTGGTTCCACCAGTACTTGAATCAGTTTCAAATGATATTTAGAATAAATTCTTGGAATTTCAAATGTTGAAGAAATGAGAAAATCGGTGAATATACCCCTAAACACATGGAGTGGCATTCAAAACAGTGAAACATAAGGAGTAAAAATGTAAACTTTATTCCAATCCATAGACAAATAAATAACATGAAAATATGAAATATAAGATGATTAAAACTGCTTTTTCTTAGAGGTATCATATATACACAGGGTGTTACCAGTTATTATGATGATCACAGCATGTTTTTCTTCCATAACTTCTTCATTTATCTTAGTCTGTGGGCTTTTCACCTGCAGATTCTATCTCTTCGAAATGTTGCATAGAAGAGTGATCATTCATTTTCATGGGAGATCATTGTTTTGTTTTTACAGTTGTCTCCAACCATTTTTTCATCAAAATCTTCAGTCGAGCTGACTACAATACTAGAATAGATAATATTTCAGTGCAAATAAAAGTATACAAAACAAGTGTTCACCTGTTCATTATTGCGAAAACTCTCAGACTGTCCTAACCAGCTGGTCTTCGCTACAAGAGGGAATCAAAAACTGTTCTCTTCAGAATGTTGATCAGATCTCTGCTTACGAAATTAAAATTGATTATTTTCCTATCTTGAACTACTCCAGTTGAAATAAAAAATAAATTTCAAACTACTTATTTAGTATATCATACCTAATGATAATAAAAATATAACACGAAATACAAGGAACATTTACAAATATCGTCACTACATGAAATTGCAGAGTTGAATTTCCTTGTTTGATTCAAAGAAACACAAGTAAATAAAAAGTGAAACCTAGCTGGAATAAAGAACCAAAATATCATTATCTATGTACCAATATTTATTTCATGAATCATGGAAAATTAGTCAATGATTATTGATTCAATTGTGCAAAGGTAGGCAAATCATAAGTTGAAGTACTTACTTTGGTACTGATTACATGATTTACATCAGCAGATGGCTTCGAAATCGAATTCATCTCAATGTCCCATTGAAACAAGAGTCATCCTGGTATGATTTCCAACGATAATATCAGATAATTGTTGTTCTAGTCATTTAGTGAAATTTCATGAACAAATACATTAGTTTTGTTTTGTAAACAACGAGGTATCATCCTTCTGTGCTGCAGTGCTGCTAATTTCGTTATTTCGTTACCAAATTACCAAATTTATTGAAAATCTGAAAAGAAGTGAGGTTAGGAAAGCCCACTGCCCAGTGAACACGATACATGAAAAAGCACAGAACTTCAGCTTCAGAAGGTTGTGAATTGTGATGCTACAATGTTCTTTAATTGATTTAGATTGTGATGACGCCGAGGATACCTCAATTTTAACACGTTGATAGAACGTGTTATGAAATAATAAATTTCTTTAATTGATCTCCTTTGTGATGACGCCTGGGATGTCTCAATTTCATCACGTTGATAGAACATGTGATGATACAAAGTTCTTTAATTGATCCCCTTTTGATGACGCCTTAGATGGCTCAATTTTATCACGTTGATAGGAGTGTGATGAAACACTGATTTGTAGAAGTAACATGTTATATTTGAGATGCAAGTTGCATATGTTTCAGAACGGTGTGATGAACCAAAGTTCTTTAACTGATCCCTCTTGTGATAGAGAGCTGAGACAAGTGTGGTTAACTGGGCTATAGATATATTTTTTGCCATTCCGCACAAAAACTTGTCGACTCCACTGAGACATCAACGAAAACGAGAATAATATGGTTCGACTTGGATAAACATTCAGAATCAACCCTAAAAACTGAATGTGCTATCTAGCTAAGCTATATGTGTTATCTAATAACCAAAACACTGCTAGTTGCATAATAACGCTTTTGGTTGTGGTTTTTCTGCTTGCAGAAAAAATATTCTATAAATGGAAGCAAATTTATCACCCTATAATTCATTTCACCTAGCAAACGAAACATTTTCTTGCTTCAATCCAAAGGATATAGGACCTTCTCTGATGAATTAACAATTCTGAAAATGATGAAATACTTTGATGAATCTACATTCTGTATTATTTTTTGAATAGAAAGAAGAAGCTAAATCATAGAAATCAAAAAATAAATTTCGATGCTTTTAGAGTTGATGATGAGATCAAAGTTTTCTACGCAGTTATCAAGGTGGAAGCTAACATTGATAGTAAGCATAGTCACTGTAATATTTTTTTATTCTCAAGGTGTCTGTACGCAGGAGCCATCATGTTACTGCATTATTATGGAGTTCTGTCCATATGGTCCCCTTTTCGATTTGCTCAAAAATCAGAAGAACATTGTGACGATAAACAGAGTTTGTTCATGGGCGAAACAAATTGCCAACGGAATGTACTATCTGCATAGCCATAAGATTATTCACAGAGATTTGAAGAGCCCAAAGTAAGTATAAAATAGCTAACAGTATCTATTCAACCCAAAATGAACCGTTCGAAAATAGAACCCTTTCAACCCAATTACCATGATTATTACAGGATTTCTTGCAATCCATTTTTCATCGTTATCATTTATAAGGTACCATAAGTTACTTCTGAGGAATTAATTTCTCACCGCGTTTTTTCGATTTAATGGAAATAATCACCTCTCCATAATGTCATAATGTCTCATTTTCTTATGGCCAACTTCTGAAGATCATTCGATATGATTCTTCTGATATCTGAAAAATTAACTATTTTGATCATCAAAATAATGTCATTGGCCGTTGCTGTGCTTGGAGCTCAACTCGCTATTCGCGATAGAAAATAACACGTCACCCCATCTGACGGAACAACTAGAACACTTATGAGCGGTTTGTTTTGATGGTATGACCAATAGGCACAAACAAAAAACAAATGTGAACCAATGAAAACAAAGTAAACAGGCCGCTTTGACAGCTCTCAAGAACTCCGATAGGTGGTCTACGCTTATTTTCTATTGCGAATAGTGCACGATGACCGACCCTGGAGGTAAAACATGGAAACGCAACCTCATTTTTCTGAACACAGCCCCACTTTCCTAATTTGTTTACAGATGAATCAAGGGATGGAAATAGTTTTTCACAACATTATCACATAAGAATCGTGTTTTTGAGCAATTCATTAATTCAAGCATGCCATCTCATCGTGCTGTTGTACAGTGCACAAAAAATGCAGCAAGAGATTAAGAAATCCGATTTTTCAGGGAGGTACATTGTGATCTGAAATAAGTACTATAGTCACTCACATATTATACTTTTCATATTGAAATTTTGTCATTTCTCATTGGAATTCTTTTTGCAATAGGAACTAATAGAAATACTCTTGAAGTTTCTAAAAGAAGGCAAGAAGAATGGATTCACTCAATCAAAAAGAAGGGCTGGTCTGTCATGCTGACGAAATATTATATCGTGTGCGTGTTGTAGACATTTTCACTCTATTAGTAGTATTAGCTTCTATTGCAGTGACAGAAGGAATTATAATGAGTAATGACAAAATTTCATAATGAAAACTATGCGAGATCACTTTATACCTGAAAAATAATATTTCTTCGTCTCTCGCTTCATTTTTTGTGCACTGTACAACAGCACAATGTGATATGGCATGCTTGAATTGATAAATAGCCCAAAAAATACGATTCGTTTGCTAAAATAATGCGAAAAACTATTTCAATCTTTTGATTCCTGAGTAAGCAAATAAAAAAGTGAGGTTGTGTTTCAATGTTTTTCAGAAAAGTGAGGTTGTGTTTCAATATTTTACAGAAAAGTGAGGTTGTATTTCAATGTTTTACCTCCAGGGTCATTCATCGTGCACGCGACCTATAGATCGCCGTTGACACTGCTATAGAGGTGTTCGTTGCTTCTGCCAACGGAGATCATTTGGAATGAAGATAGATGTGTGGTTCAGAACCCACTAACCCCGTAAATTCCAGCTTTTGGGGATATGAAGTGGCGATATATAATTTCAACAAATTTATTTCCAGTGTACTGATAGGAGAAGGCGAAGTAATAAAAATCAGTGATTTCGGTACCTCTCGAACCTGGAATGGAGTAAGTGAAAAGATGACTTTTGCTGGCACTGTTGCCTGGATGGCTCCCGAAGCAATCCAAGAGCTTGCATGCAGCGAGAAAATCGACATTTGGGCATTCGGCGTCGTCCTTTGGGAGCTTATAACATGCGAAGTTCCGTATGACGGCATGAATCAGGGAGCGATTATGTATTCAGTTGGTTCAGGCAAACTAACACCACCTATTCCATCTACTTGTCCTGATGGATTCAAACTCATCATGCAGATGTGCTGGAAATTCAACCCCAGAGAGCGGCCGAATTTCAAACTGATCTGCAACCATTTAGAAATAGCCTCAGTTGCTATATTATCCAAATACGAAGACAAAACCTTCTTTGAGACCCAGGAGAGCTGGAAAAAGGAAATTCGAACTCAGATCTATGTGTTTTGCGAACAACTACAAAAGCACAAAATCGAATATCAACTCAAAGAAGAACAGCTAATAAAAAGAAGAGAATTGGAGTTGAAGCATATTCGGGATATAAGAGAAGTGTATGATAGACGAGTTGAAAAAGTGAATCAGATGATAGTAGAGTTGGCATGCAAAATTCAACAGATAGAAAGACAGAGGCCGAATGTGAGGCAAAGGAAGATACTACCGAGGTTTAGTAATGGCAGAAGGAGGGCAGGTAATCAGAGTACAACACCTACAAGTCCTGAGTGCAGTTTGACAAGTCCTGATAGCCCACAAATTGTAAGTACTGATCACTCATAGTAAGTATTTATACTTTTTTCTACAGGATTATTATCTACATGAATTGAAGTGAAATTAATCATTTAAGGTTACTTGAATTGAATGGATTCGAATAGTTCGAAACGATTTCCACAAAATATTCAGAAGGAGGCAGCTGTATGTAATATATTGAATATATTATTGAATGTGATTATTTGAATTTGATCAAGATCATTAAGTTTGAAGAAACAGAATTTTAATTTCAAGTAATATGAATCTGTTATATTCTGGGATGGCGAAGGATTGCTGGAGTTCTTCAATAACTAGAAAGATGTTTCAATTACGAATGTGAATGAGACAACAAGGCCCTTGTCGCATATATAGGGAGCACCGAAAAAAATCTAGAGAGTCAGGGCCATTTGTTTTCAACTGGAATGCCATGTATACAAGCACATTTTTGAAGCAAGTGAGGGGTCACCAGCCATTTGCATTTGAATAAAACATGTTAGGGCTGATATCAGATAATCCTGAAGCGTTATTTTCTCCATATTGGATGCAAAATGTAGGTAGATACATCAAAAAGTTGATGTGTCTCAGAAAGTTTCAGAAAAATCATCAACCTTCCCGCTAGCAAATCAATTCCAGTTAAAGTATCCACCCTGTATATAATTCATATGAGAAGAATCTGGGTAGATTATAAACATAATTTAGTAAAGAACCTACCTATATCTACTATTCTGATAACAGGCACAGGACTGAAGAAATTCGACCCAAGCAATAGTCCGTTATCAATTATTGTCTGATATTGACTCCCCAAATACTGCAAAGAGGCACCATTTCTGAATTTGTGAACTCCAATGTCAGCGACTATCTCTGAATCCAGTGGTGTATGAGAGCAATTGACATTTGCGCATAATCAGTAACAGCAAAATCAAAAACTGTTTTACCGACCAGAAATTGATCTTTCCAAGATATTTCATTCAATTATGCGAGAATCTCAAGTTCTTGTTCTCGATCAAATTGAGGAAAAAAAATCAGAAAAAATATGTCTCACCTCGCGGTATTCGAATATTTCACCTCATTTGATCCTTCAAAGATAACATGAAAATAACAGAGATATGAATATGCCATTTAATATGCAGAATTCACTTCTTGATATTTGAAAGATAGTTTTTTATTATACAAGGAAATAAGTATTGGATTTTAGCTCGGGGATATGTTGTCTCCCGACACGTAACGTAGGGATACAAAAAACCGTGTATGTGACAGGAAAAACGACGACTCAATATTGAGAAGATATAACATTGAAATGAAGTCAGAAAATTATCGATTTGAAATTTGAAGTTTTTAGCTGGTAGTACACCTATGTTTGCAGGCATCTTTATTTTTGCTTTGAAAACCTTTTGAAGTAATGGAATGTGTCAATTAATTGTGTTTTCATTTTTAAAAATCGCGAACTTAGTGGTTAATAGTAAATTACGTAACCGCGAAGTGGAATGGAAGATAAAAGAACTTTCAGTTTCTTCTCGGACACGGTGTTATTGGCATATTTTTCGGAACTGGCACAACAAAAGCCATCAACAGTGCACCTATACAGTGTGTCCCAAATTCGATCCTCACCATTGGGATCTCAGTAACTATGAGAGATAAAGAAACGCTTAAATTAGCAAAGTTTTAGTGAATTTCATGTTGAATCAGAATCTATCAAGAAATCCAGGGTGGTTTCAGTCATTCTTGAGTTATTTGAGAAAAAATGTATTTTTGGTTTTCTCGAATATCTCGGAAACCATTGATTATATGAAAAAATGAACATTCTCATAGCACTTTTTGGTGTTATTTTCAATGGTTTTGTCAGTTTTCCATCAAAATGTCAAATTTCTGAGATATCACCTACAACTTCGGTTTTTCTCATGGACGCCATATTGGATTTTCACAGATTTGAAATCAGCATAAAATGTCCTTTCTAGTGATGTATCACAGTCACAGTTTTATTTTATTTGGGGTACTGATTTCCAATTTTTGTTTTTATGTCCAGTAGGCTATGAATTCTGTAACTAATAAATAATACTCGAAGTTATCTCCACGACAATTCATTATGTTGTGTTATTAGTTACTACTTCACTCCACCATGACTTTTACCTCAGAGAATTTTTTTATTCTCGTTGTTATCTGATATGAAGCTCGTAGAAAAAACGTTGTTCCTAACACGTACGCCAAAACTTATTCGAACTCCGCTCCGCGTCGTTCGCCTAACTGTATATGCGTGCGGAAAAGTAACACTTTGCACACTTGTTAGAAAAATAACTATAACCGTTCTCAGGTTCCTGTCAAAGCCCCTCTCTATGCCCGATTGAAACCAGACTCAGATGCCACTACTCAATCCACCACTACACAAACAGGCTCTAACTCAGCACGTAAAAGACATAGCCGTACCAGTTCCGGTTCCCCTCGCAATTCAAGATGTTCTCGTTCTTCGGGTTCAAGAACGTCAATCGTAGTCGACGCCGAGACACAAACCGACTCGATGGATGTCAGCGAGACTGATTTGAGCCCTACGACCAGTTGCGGTACCAGTACGATGGTCTATCCCCAGCGAGTTATATTGGAGGAGTTCAGGAATGCCTTGGATGAGGAACGTTCGAATGGGAATTGTGTTCAGCTACATTATATGGTTCCTCACACTGAAACCGGTGAGTGTATAGAAATCTGAAATTTGCTGTTGGAATTCCACATAACTAATTTGCACCATAGTACTATATAATAATTACTTCTTGAGGTGACACGCGAATTATTGTATTAAGTATGTAGCATCGCAAGTGTGATCACCTTGTCCTCGTTGAGATGGGGTTTCGAACGGCTATATACTCAGGTAGGTATGAGATAATTTTATGACATGTTCATATTTTCCAGAGCACCGCTGACGAGCTCTAATAGAGCGAAACAGATGTTGGTTATCTTCGACAAATAATAAATTCGATCGTAATATTATGAGAATCCTTCCAATGAATGCTCATTTTTTAATATTCCTAATAGAATTTTTCACTAATTTCTTCTTTTGCAATCACAATTCTGATTCTTATCAAAGGACAAATGAAGATTGATAATAATCATCAATACATCCACAGGTGAAGATGAATTTTACAAATTGACGGCAAATGATGAAATGAGGAACTTTTGAAATAAAAATGTTCTCTTTGACTACATAGGGGTATGAAAATGGCATATCGATGTTCAATTCATATTTCACAGATATCTGACTATAAGAAACTGATTCCCCAACAGTTGTGGCTACAGTATTCTAACCATAACTTTTCTTCTCATTGAAGAAACATACATCATGTATATTATGTTCATGAATAATGAGAATTAAAAGCAGATTATGAGAGGGGCCTTGATCGTGATCAACGCTAACGTATCATCATCAATTCTTAGTTAAATTTCGCATATTATACAAAAATTATAGTTTAGGCCCTAAAGAATGGTAAATAATAAAACATTCAATGGATTTGTCAACTTTCAGACGGGACTGATTTTGATGAACAAAAAGTTAATGATATGAACTTTCCAATACTATATAGGAGGTGATATAAATAATCATGTCTGTCAACTTCAACTCCAACAATATTCAGTCCGTATTTTGTATGTCCTACCACTATTGGCATCTCGGAAAAAGTTGATGATACGAGTTGGTTAAATTGGACAATGAACAATGAAATGTGTCCAAATCTTAATTATCACCAACCGTTTTCAAAATATACGCGGGGATATCAAAAATTGAATTTTGATTATTCTGACCATGACGATAAATTAAAAGATGATACCTACTAGAGTCCGATCACATTAACTTTGGGACACCATGTCACTCAACGAATATGCATATTCAATGCATACGCGACCACGTGCTGTCCAAAAGTTATCGGTCGGACTTTACTTGAAATCGTTTGAAAAAAATTCAGGTCCATATTCGAACAAATAGAGTTGAGGTGGCCCACGAAGAACGACGAAATTGGAACGTATCGATGGAAATCAGAGAACAATACATCGAAGCAAATTTGAAACAGAGAAAAAAGTTTCTGAGGCGCCAGCGCAAAGAAAAGAAAACCAGGCATTTCCGTTTTGTCCGTGTATTTCAAAAACGGTTCGTGATATTTTTGATTTGGAAATGAATATAGCAAAAAAGAATATATTTTGTATGAAATTTGTCTGGTAGCTTATTCAATAAAGCAGGTTTCATCGAAAGCTATAATGATAACCATATCAGGATATTGAAATTTTCGCTCACATTGGCCATTGTTTTTTTTTGGTTCTCAGTGTGTGATGATGCTGAACATTTTCAATTTCTGCTGAAAAATTTTGGTGGGAGTCAACCTGTTATATACATCATAATCCAGTACGTGGGTATCAAAAAGGGGTGTTTGAATGCAAAAGGTGGGGTAGTAGCGATTTTTTGGTATGTTGTTAAGCTTGTTGCCCTAATGAAAAATCCAAGTTTTCGACCTCGAGGCGCATGCGCTCGAGCCGCCATCTTGGATTTTAGGTACAAAAATTTGGTTTTTCAATAATAACTCAAAAACGGTGGCTCTCACAACAAAATATGTTCCCAACAATATTAAAGAAGACAAAATTTTCTATGGAAATTTATTTTTCCTAACACACATATGTTATGAGTTACAGCTTCGTGAAGTTGCACTATTTGAAAAAAAAAAAGTATTTCATTTTGTTATTTGGCTGTTAATAGCTCAAATAAATAATTTAAACAAATGCAAATCATATTGAAATGGTTCTTAAAAAGATTCTACTTCAATTATATAATTATAGGTTGCCCAAAATCTTAATGGATAGGCAGATATCGAGAGCACAGCTGCTGTCTAGTAGGTATTGAAAGAGGGTAAATGACAGATGCCACAAAAATGAACACGCCGCTTTTCCAGGTATGCGCAGTGGATCAAAGAATTGAGGGAAAGATTTTCCTGAAGTGCGCTTCGATTCGCTACGCGCACTTTGGAAGCCTGGGGAAAAACATCATTGAAATCCTAGATCAATATAAAACAGAAATAGCACACCCTGCACCCAATCGGACTAAAAATAATTTGAAAATAAAAAAAAACATGAAAACAATAGGGATTCGAACCCGGGACCTAACGCATCACAGCTCAATGCGATGCCGATGTGCTAATTGTCAATACTGCAATTTCATTGTGCAGTGAATCAATATTTGATGGTGTTTTTGTGGTCGGGGAAGACGTTGACCTTTTAGTACTTCTAACAGCCTTAGCACCAGCCGAAAGTTCTATTTACTTCCGTAAACCTGAACGAGGAAAAACTGCTGAGAGGATATATTCAGCAAGTAGCTTCAAATACGAAGAAGAAACCAAGCACAGTCTGTTCTTGCATGCCTTCAGTGGTTGTGACACTACGTCATTCCTATTCAATCTGGGAAAAACAAAATTTTGTACGCTGATAGAAAAAAACAGAGCGGTTCATGAAAACAAAAACAAAAGATATTATCATCGAAAATAATGGTACCACATACAAAAGCAATGAAGATATAGCCCATGGATTCTCTCGCTTTTTTCAGTCTGTGTTTGGCGAGTCTTCAACTTATGAAATAAACGGTTCAACTGAGATGAACGGCCATAACACCATATTCCCTCAAATATATTTTGATATAGACCAAATTTCTCTTAAAGATATATCTGACTCAATCAGAAAACTGAAACCAAAAAAATGTGCTGGTCCCGATATGATTCCGCCGTACATAGTGAAAGGATGTTCTGAGATTCTTCTGAATCCTCTTCATATTTTGTTCAATTTATCAATAAAAACAAATACATTTCCAGATCTGTGGAAACAATCGATAGTATCTCCCATTCACAAAGGGGGAGACACCAGTAATTTCTCTAATTATAGACCCATATCAGTTTTGTCTTCGTTTGCTAAAATATTTGAACAAATTTCGCACAAAAAAATATTTGAACACATGAGGGGTATCGTTTGTGAAAATCAACACGGTTTTATTCCAAAAAAATCGATACTAACAAATTTGATGATCTTCACAGACGATATTTCTCAAGCACTTGATGTAGGCGGCCAGGTCGACGTTGTGTACACAGACTTTGCCAAGGCATTTGACAGGGTGAACCATGATATTCTGATTGAAAAACTTAACACATTAAGTTTCTCTCATACATCTCTAAAGTTCTCAACTTCATACCTAGCTGAACGCAAACAAATAGTCAAATATCACGGTGCACTGTCTGAACCCTACTCGGCGCTTTCAGGAATTCCGCAGGGAAGTAATTTGGGACCACTTTTCTTTGTAATCTTTGTGAATGATTTACCTGCGGTACTACATGAATCCACAGCATTACTTTATGCTGATGACTTGAAATTTTATAAAAATATATCATCGCAAGTAGATATTGACAAACTTCAACTAGACATCGATCGTATTTATGAATGGAGTATTTCGAATAAGCTGTTCTTGAATATTTCTAAATGCTTCACAATGACCTACACGAATAAAATGGTACCAATAACAAATCGGTATACAATGAATCATACTGAACTGCCACAGAAAGATTCACATTCCGATCTTGGAGTAATTTTTAATTCTACCCTAAATTTTGGAGAGCATATCGACCGAATGGTGAAATCAGCTTATAAAACACTGGGTTTCCTGATGAGAGTAAGTACCAAATTCACACATCATACGAGGAAAATTCTTTTTTGCAGTCTTATTAGATCGAAATTGGAGTTCGCCTCATTAGTTTGGGACCCTGGGACGCTTGTACATTCCTCCAGGATTGAAACAATTCAGAACAAATTCATATGCTTCCTCTATAGGAAAAAGTATAACCAGTACCCGGATTATGATTCCTATAACTTTATAAGGCGGGAATTTAATATTATGCGTCTTGATACTAGGAGAAAAATCTATAATGCACTCTTTTTAGTGAGGTTACTCAACGAGCACGTCAAGTCTGACATTTTATTATCAAGAATAAACTTTTATATTCCAACCAGACTCCGTCCCCGAAACATAGTTTTCAGAACTATAAGTAGGAGGGTTGCAAGAGAAAATTCCCCCCTAGTACGAATGTGTAATATCTTGAACGATATATGTGTTGCTCATAGAGAGTTGAATATATTCAATGAGCAAGAAAATGCTATTCGGAAAAACATATTTGAAATTTTTTCAAAGTAAATAATTAATTTTCAATAATTTATGAATTTTTTGCATTTTAATCACAAGAAAATGTTATCCTGGTAATTTTTTGTCCTTCGCATCGTGATTGCGGACGCTTTTATAACTTTGTATCACGTAATATTAATTATTGGTTTTCTCTTCCTCTGCTTTGCTGTCTAGGTTTCTAATTTGGAATATTCTGTAATCTGATCTCTTATATTAGTTACCTCTTTAGTTATTGCTCATTCTTTGTTTTGTTTTTTCTATGCTATACTGAATGTTGTATGAGATCGTTACATAGGCATAAGGCATTACAGATGTAATTGTAAACTTAGGACTTGTCCTGTATTACATCTCTTCATAAATAAATAAATAAATAAATAAATAAATAATTGAAATTTTCAACAAACAAGATGTCACGCCAGAGGAGATTGCCAAGACCGGAGTACGCTTTCTTGTAGCATTATAAAGTGGCAACATGGATAAAGAGAGTTTCCAACGCTTCGCCAAATCTACGCTAAAAACCAAATTTAATCTTGCCTCTTTGCCACCTACTAAAGACGCGGTAAAATTCCACGCCTTCAGGACGTACCACCAAGTACAGAAATGGAGAGGCATTGAGAAAAATCCTGAAAACTGGGGTTGGAAGCATGGCGCTTACGGGCTCACTCCCATAACAATGGCGAAAAAAACAGCTCCCGATTTATTATTAAAATCGGTATCTTGCAACTGCAAAAAGGAGTGTGGTGGGGCATGCAGCTGCCGAAAGGCTGGACTTAAATGTTTGGTTGTATGTGGCTTCTGCAACGGAGAATCTTGCGGAAATATGCCGGAAATCCGCATTGAAAGCGAGGACGAGGATGACGACATTTTTCAGGCTACGAACCAAAACTACGACCAGGACACAGATAACTACGACCAGGACACCGACTACTACGACCAGGACACAGACAATAACCAACCCGGACCATCGAAACGTACAAAATGTAGTAAAAATTAATTTTTGTAACGCTCTAAAAACCTAATTTACTATTCTTGAATTTTAAAAAAAATCGATTTACTTTTCGCCTTCAACTTCATCGAGAAGTATAATACTGTTAAATGATGATATTCGAGTGCATTTCAGTTTTTTCATAATTATATGATGAGAAAAATAAAATAAAACTCAACCAAAATGAAGTTCCCGCATTTTTTTCAAATAATGAAACTTCACTGAGCTGTAACTCCTACCGTTTTTGAATTATTATCAAAAAACCAAATTTGTGTACCTAAAATCCAATATGGCGGCTCGACCGCATGCGCCTCGAGGTCGAAAACTTGGATTTCTCATTAGGGCCCCAAGCCTAACAACATACTAAAAAATCGCTACTACCCCACCTTTTGCATTCAAAAAACCCCCACGTACTGGACTATCACTATTATCAGAAAAAAATTTATGAACGAAATATTTGAAAAATATGTTTTTTTGAACGAGCTTATTCTCACCTTGTAGTATTTGAGAAGACTAATTTGCTCCTTTGTTCATCAAATCAGCTTTCATAAAATTAAGTAGTCAATTTTCCGAGGAATTTTCCTTGATTAAGAATTCCAATACAAAATAAAAAAAAATCTGATTTCTCTTTTTTTGACTGTTGAGTTATATTATAAATAATAATAATAATAAAAGAAGATGGCGTCCGAGTAAGCATCACAGAAGCGAGCTCCCGAAATTTCTGAACTTTTTAGTGGTATTATGGCAAGTACATCTAAAAAATTGTCAGTGAAGTGAAGTACAACTGCAGAACACGCAAATTAAGAGTACAAGAAGTGCAATTAATGATACGGAATTAGAGATTTGATATAATTCACTGACTTGTGCTGAATCCATAAACTTACAGTGTTGTCAGTGTTTTAAAATGAGAGAAACACGAAATAGTAGCAACAGCAACAGTAGTAGTCAGGACATGAAACAAATTTCTATAGATGAAAACTCATTGGAGGAAGATATCAATAGCATTGTAGAGTGGAGTTACAACAATAAATTATACTTTAATGTGAAAAAATGCTATATTTTAACAATAACTCGTTTAAAAAATGTTATTAACTTCGAATATCAGATGGACAATGAAGTGTTAGCACGGAAAACTGAGGTTAGGGATTTGGGAGTAACATATAACAATGTTTTTTCGTTCACAAATCATATTTCTAAAATAGTTCGGGATGCAAACCGTGCTTTAGGATTTTTGATTCGACAAACTCATAGCTTCAATAATGTGGATACCATAAAATTACTTTATTACAGCTTGGTAAGACCAAAACTTGAATTTGCTTCTGTGATATGGTTAGGAGAGCACATAACAATCTTGAATGAAATTGAAAAGATACAAAATAAATTCCTCAGGTACCTGTATTTTAAAAAGAATCACGTATGGCCTGACTATAATTATGTCCGCACGGTACAACTGAGGTTAGGTAGGTTAGTTTATCTAACCAGAAATCTTGTCATTGAATCCATTTAATGTACCATCTCGTCGAACCCGATTTACAGCACCTTTCAATATATCATTGTCCATTTCAGGTTGCAGAGCCCCACTAGCAACTATTTTGCGCTTAGCTAATACTTTTGATGGAATGTTGAACTTGGAATGGACTTTGTCTCAATCTGCCTTTTATAGATTGATCATCACTCAAATAATTAACCTCTCATCATAAACAGATTTTCCCTAACGTTTATTCAGCTTGCATTCACTCCATGTAAAGAAGGAATGTTGCAAAATTGTTCACTTCCAATAATATTAATCATCATTTCAATAATTATTGTGTACAACTTGTCGTACGAATCCCCCTCCAGTTCTGATAATAGTATGAATGAAGAAAAAGTACTCTTTTGCTTCAAAATGTGAACATATATATCTGTGTATTAATCCATGTAAATAGGCCACTAGGCCTGTATGGACAAATAAATAAATAAATTATGTTATAGTTACTCAAAGTACAACGAATCATGATACTGATGATGTGGAGAAGCAAAACACACCTGTGATTTATTGTTTTTTATTTCAGTTCAAGTATTCACTACTCATATAGCATCGCCCACAACAATCTCTAATCCGATATTCCATCCTGACGATACTGTCAACCGCAACGATATCGACCCAGGAGCCTCTAGCGAAGAAGACAATCTCGAGACCATTGGCCGTAAAGTTTCTGCAATCAAAATGTCAGCCATGTTTTCGCCTGAGAACGGAAATATTTCGAGCAGTTTGGATGATATCATCAGACATAGGACATGTTCAGAGACAAGAGATGATTTGGATAGTACAGAGGACCAGGCAAATGAGGATAGCTTCACTGATGAGGAGGGAGAAATTTATAACCAGTCACTACGGAGACGAAGGTAGGCGGAATTATCCATCAATAAAAAATATTTCATTGAATAGGTACCTACCTATGAATAGGCTGAATTGCTAGAGATAATTAATTTAGGAGATTTTCTCTAGGTTCCTATACTCACTATTGATATAGTCATCCAACGTTATTGTTTTGATAAACAATATAGTATTACTCTCGAAATAATCAGCATTATTAAAAATTTTGTTGAAATGTGCCTGCTCCGAATTGAGTTGGCACTTAAGCCAACTACATTATCAAGGAAGATATATATATACAATAAATCAGTGTAATTTTCCATGGTTATGACAATGGCGAAGACGTTAACAAATTGATACTGTCTCGTTCTTTGAATATCTCATCAAATGCTGTTTTTTCAATGATATTTCGTTCATAATCACATTGAAATAATTTATATTTATCCTATTTCATTTAAGATTTCGCACCTGAAGTAGATCAATTTCAATGGTCCATCATTTTCTTGAAAGATTCCACCCGATACAAAAGGGTAGTTTGTTTGGAGATAGTATATTGTCATTTCTTGAATTTTCAATCGACCATTTTCATCGAAGATTTTACCCGATACAGAAGGTTAGTTTGTTAATTGTCAATATTGTCAGTTTTTGAATTTTTAGTAGTCTATTCTTCATTCCTAATCAATTGTTCAGGATTTTTCTTCCTCAAACAACTGGCAATTTGATTATTCTGACTGATCAATTTATAAATGATTGAAAGAAAACCCAAGGCTTTTCTGTGGTACCTTATTATTCGCTTTCCTTTTGATATTATCCATTACAGCTCAGCCAGAAGATTCATTTGATTTCATGACTATATAACTCGTTTATTTTCAACTTGAGGAAGGAATTGCATTCTAGTATTTTTGTTCAAGATTTGCTTCTGAATTGACGAATTACCTGATGATACACATTATATATATATAACTATATACTGTTCGTTTTATATGGATAAAATATTTCGAGACAGTATTTCAAACGATTTCACCATCCTTCTACCTAATACTCATAAAAAATTCCATTCCTTTGTCCATTCAATCAATTTCGTGTACCTATTGGCAATAAGTGAACGTTATATATCTCCTTGAAAATATTGCTGATTGAAACATTTGAAATTTTGAAAATTCTAGAAGATTGAAATAATTAGATAGGTAGATAGGTACAGTGATGCCCAATAAATAGGTAACGACTCTTGAGCGAATCGAAATATTTTTGTCTAAGCACATGTACTATTCATTGCCTAGAAACGAACTGTCTCCCTCATTAGCATTTTATGATCTGCTTCGCACTGTGAAGGTATTATAGGGTATACCCAGCGGTATATACCCAGAGGTGTAATAATTATTATTCGAACGTGAAAAATAACAATGACATAGTTCTTCTATGGCAACAACAATGAAATAAATAGGAATTGATCTGGACTGCTTCACAATGATTCAGTTCCGATGAGAACGATATAATATAATTATAACTAGAATCCAATCTTGGAGTGAAGGGATTTACTATTTCGTCCTTCAAACCAGAAATGATAGTACTAAGAATGTGTATATTTCAACAATATTCAATTCATTCATTGGTCATACAAACCATCGAAACTTCAATTCGATAATATTTCATATGAAAATATAGAATGACGGACCTGATGGTATGAACGAATAAGTCAATAATATGGATATACGAACGTTATACGAAATATTCCGACAATCGATCTAAAGTAATTGAAAGAATATAGGTATGTATGAATATACCAACATTCTCAGAACAAACATTATAAAACAATGCCATGATTTATTGAATATAATATATGTATATATAATAATATATGACAACAAACTAACTAAACTGAAATAAATTTGAAACTATACAGCGTGTAATTTAGTTTATGGCTGAAAATAACGGATATGGTTCCTCAGCTCATTTTAAGAAAAAAAGTTGATATGAACATATGCCCTAAACCTCTCAACATCCGAGCTATAGGGTGTTGGAATTTTCAAGAAAGATTAACTTCAATATAATGAACAAGAACTAGTTTCAGGGCATATGTTCATATCAACTTTTCTTCACAAAATGAGGTAAGGAATCATATCCTATATTTTTAACTATCAATTAAATTAAACCCTGTATAACCAGGAGAAAACGATCAATAAAATTGTGATAAAATTATGAATATATAGTACTGAATTATATAATATAGGTATATTCAGGTAGTCCATTCATTTTCAAAATTATGCTGAGTTGAAAAAATCTCTGAAAATTTTGGGTAAATCCGAGGATTAATCTGGCATAGCGCACTTCCAAATACGGGAGGTAAATAGAATTCCCTTATTTCTAATAGAGCACCACGTTTTTCTACATTTTTGATTCTATATATTACTCTGAAATGAACCAGGTGATTTATTATACCAATTTCAACTTTTTCGGAGTAATTACGACTTTCGAGAATATTTTCAAAAATGATTTTCTCTATACCTAACTGAAACACTGAAAATCATGATTTCTCACTAGAGAGAACTGGTTCACATAATGCACTTTGGAGTGGAAATATGAATTCCATAAACAGGGGGAGTACTTTTTTCCCGGATATATATCACATATATATACTCTGTTAATGGCTTTTGTTGTGCTATAGTTCCGAAAAATGAGTCAATAATACCGTCTTCGAGAAAGAACTGCAAGTCCTTTTATTCCATTCGACTTTCGCGGTTTCGTATATTACTAAACAACTACTGAATTCGCAATTTTTTAAAATCAAATCACAGAATTGAACTGACAGAAGTGACATCAGATATTTGATTACTTACTATATATAAAACGCAGGTGTCCCTACTGTTAAAAACTTGAAATTTCACGTCGATAATTTTCAGATTTCGAAAAAATGTAATATCTTCTCAATATTGATTCGTCCTTCCTTCTGTCACAGAAAAAAAAAAGTGTATTATACAAGGGAAAAATATTAGATTTTAGACAACACAACCTGGAGCTGAAATATACTACTTTTTTCCCTTGTATAATAAATAACTATTGAAAACCAAAATTATATTTTATACTGTTGAATCTATCAGCACAAAGAAATATCGATCAGCTATAAAGAAGAATTATCGAAAACACAGTCAAAAACACACATCAAACATTTTGGTATTATGTTGTGTTATGTTCGGTGACCGCGTGCTATATATACCGTGTGTTCACTTAAAGAATTTACCACCGCCTGTAAAATCCGTATTATTTTATCGATTCCAAAAAACTTTTTATGTTGTGTAGGTATTTGAAATATCCATCCAACAAAAAAGTTATGGTATTCTTAAATTTTTATCGTCGCCAACTGCGACCAATTTTATTGACCCATATTTCAAAAATTACTATTTAGGCTTTTTTTCACTGAAACTAATGATGGATTCGGTACGGAGATCACTCAAAATAAACCAGTACCGATTTTCATCATCATAGAACATATAAGTATAGGGTGTCTGAAAATACGGATTACTATTTTTTTGTATACCTACTTGATCAGAAAATATAGTAGGTACTGTGGTATTTTTGGGAAGAACTGATGTCGAATTAATATTGAGGACTTCAAACATATTGGTCTTGATTATTATCATTCAAATATACATAAATGTGAAGATAAAAAACGTTTTATGATGATGAAAATCAGTTCCGAGTGATCTTGAATGAGAATCCGTCATTACTTTCTAGGAGAAGAACTATCATGATGAAAAATATTGCCTACTTATTCTTTTTTCTTAGACACATTGGATATTCGAATTATAAAAATCGGTACAGATATGTTTGAAGTAGGTCCTCAATAATAATTTGTCATTACCCAATTATGCCATAGTATACTAAATCTTCTGATCGAGTATTAAAAAATAATAATAAATCGTTCTTTGGAACACCCTATGTTTTTTGATGATGAAAATTGTTATAGGTATGTTTTGAAATACCCTGATGCAAAATCCATCGGTATTCTTAGTGGAAAAATCCCTCATTGTATTTTTTGAAGTATGGTTCAATAAAATTGTTCACAGTCAGCCATGGAAACAGTTCAAGAATAAAATCATTTTTCTTGTTGGATGAGAATTCCAAATACCTATCCAATAAAAACAATGTTTTCAGAATCGATCATATAATAACGATTTTACAGGGGTGGTACGCTATTACAGTGGACACACTGTATATGATCAATTGATCGGAATGAATCTCTATCTGGCAATGAAATTTCAATCAAAATGTTCAAATGTCACTGTTGAGAATAATACATTTCTAAAAATATTAATGCTGAACGCTTCAAAATATGAATTAAAGAATGTTATCACGGTTTATATCATAGAATAATAAAAATGAATCGAAATTATGAAGAAATTTGTGATGGTCCATTATAAATAAGGAAGTTCTACTCACTCCCGGTTCAATCGAGTGCTACGCCACTGTCGAATACTGTCAGTATTTAGTATAGGAACCATTTGCATAATATAACTTTTCTCAATTGATTTGGCATAGATTGAATCACATTTGCTGTCAAATCGTCAGGAAGTTCGTCCCAAACTCTCCTTATATTAGACCAACCATTATTCAATTTGGTTAAAATACTCGATTTTTGGTAATCACTCAAATGATGAGATATTTCCAACAACAATAGCAAAGTTTGAAATTATAAAAATATCACGAATTCACAAATATCTCATCAGAACGAAATAGACTAATGAATGATATGAAAATCGAATCATAATTCTCAAATCCTGTCCTTCAAAGGGTGAATTATGTGTAAACCAATGATATTTGAATAAACCACAAATCTCTATGAATTAGAGTCGAGCCTTTAAAGGCATTGGTCTACAAGTTTATGTTAATTTACAGGAAGTATCAAGCGACAGACCGACAAGTATTATTTCTTCACTCTATAGGTAGACAAGTTACGTTGTAGATTGATGATTATTAATTGTTTTGTGATATTAGTATACATATTTCTTTGGAGGAAAACTGAGAACTAAGAATATTGAATACCTACGTCTCTGAATTTTCAGATCTTATAAATCACTAAATCACGAATTCAAGTATTATGTCTATAATACTAGATCTCGGAAACTACGAATATCAAATATAGATGAAGAGTTATAGTATTTAAACAAACACTATTTATATAGAACGAATATAGGTTCGAACGTTTCAAGAGATGAAAAAATATGTTTCGTTACTAATTTTTATTTTTACCAGTTCTACGACAGCATACTACTCACGTTTGATATTTTGATTAACATTGATTGAAATAAATATGAGTATAAACACATACTTCTCGAAAAACGTTTCTAATGAGATTTCCTGATTTTTGCTAGAATTTACAAACCTAATTACAGTGTGTGAGGTTGAAAACCGCAAAACCATCGAATTTTTCGGAGCGATGACCACTCAGAAAATAAAATATGTATGGTAGGTTTAGAGACGAATGAAAATGGCTATATTTGTCAGTGCTATACTATTCCAAATGTTTCCTCACTGAACTGGTATTGAAATAGTCGAAATATCAATTTACAATTATTGTTAATAATTCCGAAACTATGAACTTTTGTTATATAAAAAAAATCTAACAAACTTAGAATCGTAGAATCTGAGAATGCAATAATATTCAAGGTATCCCATTAAAAAAAGAAGAATTTATTTGTCGCTGCGCGTTTTTGAGACACTCGAAATAAATGAAAATTAGAATTCCTGGAAGTAGATAATCGCGTTTCAAGTTAATAGGGTGTATACCGTTTTCTCTTCGCAAAACCATCAAATTCAGAGAAAAATGTATATTAAGAACGATCAAGAAATATGATTTCGAGGAAAAATAATTGAAGGATACACTAAAGACAAACTCTAATTTGAAAAAGAAATTATACCGATACCGCTTTATATTCAACAAGTTCTTTATCTATTTCATATCAACTAGAATCGAACAATGAATATCGATGATGATGCTGGTCAGTTTTTTTTTAGTCAGCTTCATTAGATGAAGTAGAAAATATTACTCTGGCGATGTGAATATTAACCCGAAATCTTAGAAATATTCAGAGATACACCTGACAATCTCGTACCACAAACCACAATAAGAAATAAGTTATTGAAACAGCGGGCGGCTTTAATAGATATTAGTCCGGGTGCATACACCGAATTTTTAAAGGGATTTTCACAAGAGTCGTTACTTATATATTGGGCATCACTGTACATACCTAATTCTTTTAGGATATCATTTGATTGCTTGGATGAACACTCGAGGATGAATCTCTTCAAGAAGTCTCTTATGCAAATCATTTTTTGCAAATTCTTCAACCTGGCCGTTTAGCTGTATTCTAAAATATTCTTTTATTCCCAGTACCCACATATCATATTTGTAAAGAACATATTCATTAAGTATCTTGATTTTTTTCCACAGTAAGCAAGGAAAAGAGCTTTTAAAATCAAGGTAAAATTGTTATCATCTGGTTATTTCTCTTAATTTGATTTTTTCACTGATCATTCCATTAATATCACTTTAACTGTTATATTTTATACCTACAAGTGTTATATCTATTTCACAGAATGTTATTGCTGGTATAACCTAATTTCTAAAGTTTTTGAATGTAGAAAGTTTCAGAAAACAATATCTTCTACCTATCTATACCTTTTGTGGAAATCTCATCGTTTGTGAAGTTTTTACAAATTCATTCGATTTTCATTCTGTTGTCATGAATGAATAGGTACGACACTGCGATAGGTTCTTGATGAACAATCATCCCCCAGCATTTGTATTTTTCCGTATGTAGTTCAGAGTCATAAAGAGGTATACCTATATGATATTGTATTTTTTTCTCGAAAACTAATCAAGAAACTAGACAAAGTCAGAAGAACATTTTTTTATTTTCAGTAGGTGTATTCGAATTACTGATGAAAATCGCAAAAAATATTGGGTGATATTCTTGTCTGCATGAATAATTAACTTTTTGAAAAACTAAACACCTTATATTTAGAACCCATGCATGTAACATATGAACTCTTTTCTTATTTTGCTAAGTGGAATCTTTCCTAGGATTTTGTCAGTGCAACTCTGGAACACCCTGTAATACTTTCGTTGTTTCGATTTGGGATGCCTATCATTTCGATTATTTTCTAGGTACCTACTGTACCTATTATTATTATCCTATGTATTCACGGCGGTCCCTTAGATATCGTATACTAACTTATCTCATATGGAAGTTGCTCCTACTTGGATGCATCCATTCTATCATGATATCACAATGATCATTATCATAAATTTTCTAATTATGTATTCTATAAGAGCATGCATAGCATACATCAATCTTATGTGTTCATTTCACATCTCAGTAGGAAAAATACTGAACCATATTTTTTTTTCAGTCTGGCGAGAAGACCAATCTACCCAGGTCGCAGATCAAATCGATTCAAAGCAAATTTCGTCAATTTTCAACGTGAACCCAACGCCTCAGATGAGGGCAACACCTCGGAATACTCGATTTCCCCCTCAAGTAAATCTTCAACTCTCGAATCGAACCCTGAGAGAACGAGGGGATTGCCAAATTTGTCGGTGAAAAGGTCTAGTGAGAGCTTGGACCGGGGATCGGATAGTGAATCGGAGGAAAATAATACTATTGCTACACAGGTATACAATTTGAACAAAACAGAGAATGTAGTCTGAAGTTGCAAAGCGTGAATGTGATCTTTTTAGTTGTTAAGTTTTATTTTTTTATGTTGTGTTAAACTATTTATCCTTTAAGCATAAGTTCATCTGTGAAATAATCCAATTCGACAAACTGACTATTTTTCGAATTTCAATCAGGATTGACAGAAGGAAAACACATTTTATATGAACGTTTCCATCACATATAGCTCAACCATACAATCAGTGAGAAATAAGTTAACTTACGATAAAAAACGATGCTAAAAAAATACTTCCGATTTAGTCCGAAATGAGGTGTTTCCGCACATATGCCCTACCTTTTATATTTAAAAATAGATACTCCATGAGTTGGTTGATTCAATGATATATTTTTTAAAATGATTTTTGACTATTGTAGAGTACATTCCTTTCTATGTATAATGAGAACAATCTATTATTTAATGTGCAATTTAGTAGGTATACCTACCTAACAATTGTATTTGTTATCTTAACTTTTTTGGTTAACCAATATTAAATATAATGTTGGTGTATCAGTTCTTCTCTGTCCTTGAATGAAATATTTGAAATACATTATACCAAACAAATATTGCAGAAGTATTTGGAAATAAAAGTGATTCAGTGGTATATTAAAAGATTCTAGTATTTAGAATCCATAGATAGGTACACAAAGCATCTTTTATGTCGATAATTTTCTATTGGAATATTTTTATAAACTGTACAAATGTCTGGAGCCACATTTTATTTTGATGAAATATTTGTGCTGTGTTTAAGAAAGATCTATATTATCAGTAAGTAGGTAGGTTTTTTCAGGTTCAAAGTAGATATTGTTCCACAAGTATAACTAGGTTATTGTATAAAATTAAAAACAGTTGGTTATATTCTGATAAGCTACTAACAAAATCAGTTTGATATTGATGGGAGATACACACAAACTTCAATTTGCATTATTGCATCTTTCAGTCCTATATAGATCACAATCACAACAAAATTTTGTGACAATGGTATCTTAATTGTACAAGGAGTTTCAGTGCCAAGTACCATTACCATGAGAGTATGTTGAAAATGCCTAATCATGAAAAATGTTTGAATCTATCTCTCAGGTGAAAATGTCTCCAAAATATGTTCAAGTATTTTACCAAGGTTGGCAGAATTGATAATTATTCGCAAAGAAGGTTGTCTTGATCAGAAAAGTGGTAATTTATGATGTCATTCCTACGAAAATTCCATTTTGGAGTCGTAGTAATCTATATTCTATATGAACTACTGGTATATAAACCCAACATTAATCACTTCATAATCACCAAACTAAATTCCTACAAAACAGGTATGCCTTTCCAATTCTAATAGTTTGCACCAATTTCTAGGAAAATTTAGATTGTGACCAGCAGTTCTGTCATTGAGTATTTTAATTCTTCTATTTTTATAATTTCTCATTGATCTTTCTAAAAAATGGCCTTAAACAATATTACTATTATAATAACAATGAGCCTTGACATAATTCTCATGTATTCAGTTTCACCATCAACACAGTGTAATATTTTGGTGTAAAAATGTATACGGTGTGAGGGGTTTACAATACAATTTTTACTACTGCAATGTTACTGATGGATTAACCTCTATTATTCAAATTCAGGTGAATAGTTCTGAATAATGCCAAACTGAACAATTTCGACAGGCATTTTTTTTTGTATGGTAGTGTACACTAATTTTCATGATTTTCCTCGTGCATTAGAGAAGCGGTGTCCTTTGAGTTTCGAGAGAGGCAAAAGCCCATAGGATTGAAAATAAGTTTCCGAGAAGTGTTATCAAATGTTTACATTTTCGTTAAAATCTCAGCTAGCGAAGTGGCTCTTTTCTGTCATTCAGCTGATAAATACTTTTTTGCTCTAGAACTCAAAAGACTTTCACGTTCAGTTGATCATATCTATGGGTTTTTGTTCACGAATTTATTAATTGAATACTCAACATACGAGTATACATTAGCTTCAATACATAATAATGATAAAATATTATCCGAGACTTACATAATTTGCAAACTCCACAGTTTTCAGATGGTTGCTGGTTTTCAGATTTTACTATTTTCCATTTCAACTTTTCCCTCTATTTTCATGTTTTTCAATGTCATAGATTACAGATGTCAATTATTCTGGGTAGGTCAGATAAGTATCCACAAAATGTCAGTTAACAATGACGAATACTTGAATATTTATTCCTTCATCCTCACATTAGTCAATGCAGTTTTCAAAAAAATATAGTTTATTACTCTCGCTGAAACTTGCAAAATAACTCCTATTCTCAAACGCAAGAGTATCATTTCGCATTCTAGATACAGAAATAACTATTTATGATGAATTCATAGTAAAGAAGGTGTTTTTGTATCTAGTGCGTGAAATGCAACTTTGGTGATTTTTTTAACGAGGTGCAGCCGAGTTTAAGAAATAGTCGGGATGACCAAAGTATTTCGTGAACGAGTTGCAAACAATATTTTTTCTACAAACGTCAAAAAATATAGTTCGAAAGTAGTAATATACAGGGTGTATCTGAATGGTCTGTTCGAAATCGCAGCACATATTCCTGAGGTCAATATAAGCCGAAACTGAAAAAAAGTGTTACTCCGCACATTGTAATTTTTTGACGTTTGTAGGAAAATCTGTTCTTCGTGTTGCACTTTCCAGTGACCACTGTTCTTATTCTCTTGTATGAATTAAATTTGGATTAGGTACCTATACTTAACTGAAATGACTTTAGTATAAAGATGGGCCCATTCAATCGAAATACTGTTTTTGTTACAATCTTCTATGCATACAATTGTGAGTGATGATAATGATATTTTTAGTTAATTCAATCCCTCCTTTTATATAATTTCTATGTTATTGAATGTGATTTTTTTTGTAGTTGTAGGTAGTTGGTAAAAAAATGTACTTATTATTCACGTTATCATTGTTGTTTTTTATATTGTTTCATAACATTTTATCATAGATGCAAGCCATGAACAAAAAAGCATTCCGTCATCAAATATGTAAAGAATTAGAAGTAGATACCTAGTATTATAGGTTGTATATAGAACTCACTGATTGTGTACAAATCATATTATATTGTATATTGTTCAATATTTTGTTTAGTAAAAGTTCATGAACCCAACTTTCAAAACTGAGGAAATGAGTAGGTAACCAATGTGTTTGGTAGGAATATCCTAAGGCTAATTGAGCAGTTGCAGAAAAAATAGATATAATTGAAAACATCGATTGCTGTTGTAGATAAATTAGCCAGATCCAAATGAAGTGTCCACCATTGGCAATTGTTTTTGGAGCAAAAAAAAATGGATAAACTAGTAGGGGTAATATTTTCTATGCGCGTTCAGTAGTAAAAATAAGAGGTTGTATGCGAGTGTTATAGTTAAAGTTATCTAACACCAGGTGACGCAGACTCATGGTGTATACCCCTTTTCTCCTTTGGTTTTCCAGCTATAAATCTGAAATTTGCTTTTTCAGCTTTTTTTTCATCTTCCGGTTTTCCTGGAAATGCCATCAACTTTCGATTTCCGAATGGAACAGCCTGAATTTCATTTCATAACCGGTTAGAGATTATTATAACGTATTCAACGATACCGGGTTTGACTGCGGGATGTTTCAAACGATTAATTACGAAGATATTCACGTTCGACGTTTTCATATGTTCAATGAGTGTGGCAGAGAAACCAGTTTCGATTTTGCGTCGACACACCCATTGAGCATATGGAAACTTCGACTATGAAACCCGGTATCGTTGAATTCTTCATGATAATCCCTAACTGATTATGGAATGAAATACAAGGTGGTCGATTTGAAAATCGAAAGTTGATGATTTCCAGGAAAACCGGAAGATGAATAAAGCTCTTAGATTGTGAGGAAGAAGATTGTGAGGAAGTGCCACCTGCTCACTAGATATTTGATGTATAGTAAGAAAAACAAAGGAGAAAAGGGGGGTATACCATGAGTCTGTGTCACGCATTCTTGCTGAAATTATTCCGTATCACACAATTATCATCAACGCAAGTTGTAATTCGCAGCGCATGCGATAATTATTGAGTGACTTATACCACTCATTGCTCCTTCTGAATGAAGAATTTCAGAATCTCGACACGATATAAATAATGTCAATCACAGAACATTTCTAACTGATAGACTCGATAGAACTTAAAAGATATACTCTTTTACCTATTTTGATAACATATGCTCTGAAACGGTTTGCCATTGGGATACAGGGCGTTGGAGTTCACTATATTTCACTTTAGTTCTGAAAGTTGGGTATATAAATACTATGAGAAGTAGAAGACATGACTTATATACCATATAAAGTGCCCGCCAAGTGGGTGCATAACATATGGAATCCATTTTAATTACTTTAGTAAGGAAAAAAACAATATAGGCAAAAAGTGGGGTTAGATGGCGAATAACCGAATGAAAATCTTTAAATATGTTGCTTCACAAGTAATTTTTCACTCAATAAGTACTCATCAGTTTCTCGTGATAATGTTAGAAATATAAAAATAGCCTATTTTGTCGAGTAATTTCCTGTTAGATTTATTAGATATTGAAAATAACGACAGATCATTCTGATTTCCTCCACACCTGTATTGAGAAAAATGATTAAGTCCCTCATTGTTCCATGTGCGAAGTGAAACGTTCATGCACGATCTGCCGTGAACTTTGATGATTATTAACAAGATGCGAGGTTGTCGAATTGCCATTGCATCGCAATATTCGTGGAATTAGCTGCTGTAGGAATCGAAACGGGAGGTTTACTACTACTTCATACGAAACAATGTGACAGCGGGGACCTGACCAAAATCAATTTTCTCGAATTATTTCTTGAAATTTGATACATGCATGAGTTCAAATTTTAGGCAACTTCTTCGATATGTATTCTTCGAATAGGTATCTTGCCACTTATTCCCACTTTTTGCAGACACTGTATATTTGAATTTTTGTATATTTTTCACGACATTCCATCCCCATTTATAAGGTGTTTCATTGGAAAACGCAAAAACGTCAACGTTTGATAGAGATCACTGAGGTGATTCTAAATATACTACATTGATTTACCATTACTGTCTGCATAACCGACAAAATTATAGGGTGTCTTATCGATTTTGCTCATTTCTCAGTGGAGTAATAATTATTGACAACTCATATAGTATATTTTTGTAATATTTGGTATTACCTTCACATGTTTTCGTTCCTCCACCAACCAAGCAGCCAACGTACTAGACAGTACAACAAATTCAGTTCAGGATTGACAAAAATCCAGGGTAGTTCAAAATTTGGGTTGTGAAAATTTATGCGGGATGCGTTTATATTTTACTCAATAGCTATTTCAGTTGATATTGGTCTTATTACAGATCCGTTCTAATGGGCAAAGATGAACTAATATTTATGGGCATTCTGAATCAATCACTAGAAAATGCAAAAAAAAAACATCGTGAACCTTCAAATTTGACATGAACTGGTATTTTTTAAATGGAACACCCTGTATTGAATTTTCTTCGCTAGAGGTCTTCCTTCTGATTTCAAAGATATATATACTTTATTGAGATTATCTGTTATAACTTTGTCAGTTTTCGATGAATATAAAATTTGGGAAGCACTATTTTATGTCGGTTATGCGATGACATTATTTTTAAATCAATGCATGGGGTACTCGGCATTACCGCGGTGACCTTCATCTATTGTCAACGTTTTCCAATGTGACACCACCTGTACAGGGTGGGCCAAATTGGGAACTTTTAAAGGGAAAGTCCTATTTCCGTACAAGATAGAGAAGAACTGATACCGGACATGACAAACTCAAAGGTGGAAACCGCATATCGATATCTATCTTTATTTCAGAGTTACAAGGTGTTTTTCAAAAATGTGAATTTTTGAAAAGTGGCTATATAACTCTTTTTTTGTCAAAAATTCTTCGTTTTCATGAAAACATTTTCAAAGTATTGTGTTTGTCATGAAAATTGATCCTCAGGCACTGAAATCAGTCACCGTATACCTAGTTGCAGAATAGAACTTTTCTTTCAAGAAGAACAAGTTGAATTCTTAAACTAGATATAGGGAGGCCGATTTCAGTGCCTCGAGAACAATTTTTATCACAAACTTCTGCAGTTATTTCCATAAGAACAGACAATTTTTGCCTGAAAAATATCTGTAGCCACTTCAAAAATGCCCATTTTGGAAAAACACCTTGTAACTCCGAAACGAAGGCAGATATCCGGATTTCACCATTGAGTTTTTCATGAGAATCGACCCTCAGGCACCAACATCAGTTTTTTTCCATCTGGTTCCAGAATAAATCTTTCCCTTTTAAAGTGACCAATTTGGCCCACCCTGTACATGAATATCGATTATATATAAGATAATTTCATATTTGGCTGCATTTTTTCGCAACATTCCATTTCCACTCATTTTAGAGATGTTTTATATTGGCAGCTTGAAACTTCTATACACAATACATGAATTATAAGTATAACTAACTCGTTTTATTCACACACATATAACTACCAATAAAATGCTTCATTCCATAAATTGAGTACGGACTCGATTATGTTGTTACTATTTTTGACGAGTCTTGCAGTTTCTATGACAGCTTTGCCTTTTGGAGAAAGTGTCTCGTCTTCAGGATACTCAAGATAACTTCTGTTTATGGTATTATTCATAATATCTTTGTATTCCTTGAAAGAAAAAGTGTTATAACATTCTGAAACTAAAACGGGGTTTTTCTAATTGAGTTAATTCAATATCGAAGAATGTGGCCACAATAACAACACTACCTACACTACACTGTTTTGCTACCATTATACCGAACCGAACTCAATAAATGTTTCGCTCACTATAATATTTATATTAGCGTTTTCTGGAGACAATTATTAATACAGTTCTTTCTGAAATAATCGCGTCTGAATATATAATAAGCATCTAATTCAGAATACCCGAAAATCTACATTACTATTTAAAAAAGCCTATATACAGGACGGATCAAAAATGTGTACCGAAGCTTTCTGGAGGTGATAGTACATTGAAAAATAAGTATAGTTTGATAAATAAACTGATGGTCCGAAATGTATATCAAGGGAGATGTATCCTTCCAAAGTTGATCAAATTGAAATAATTTTTCCGCATAATGTCTAAACGGTAAAAACCACCAGATTGATATTTTCTTCATAAATGTATGTTGCTGAGATACATTTTTCTGATACACTTTTACATTTCTGGAATTGTTATAAAGGGTGTTTTAAGTGGTTGGGTCATGATTTTTTGTAGACAACTTTTTTCCTCGTATTCTTTTTGTTGAAAAAATAGAAGCATTTGATAACGCGAAAATTATTACATAAGAACGGTATTCTTATCGGACAACAAAAATCAACCGTCTTCGGCTTCGAACTTTTAAGCTGGAAACCATCTCTATTTTTCTTTCCAAAACATTTTTCTTCACGCAATCTTTGCACAATTCTCAAAATTGTTCTAGAATTTGGAACGCGTCGAGCAGGAAACGAATAACCAGTAATTTCTAAAAATCTCAGTTGAAAATCGCAGAAATAATATTACTATGCAAAAAAACTGAACAAGGAAATTAACAATAACAATGCCCATGTCATGAATGTCAATATCAAGAACAACATTGATCATGGCCCCCTAAAATATTATTACCGATGAATTAATCTGGTGATATCAATTTTTGTATTCCGAAAGGAATATCGTTTCCATGTATTTTTTTTGCTCTATCAAAATGCTTCTATTTTTTAACCAAAAAGAATATGAGGAGAAAAATCATCTTCAAAAATCATGACCCGCCCACTAAACACACCCTTTATAACAATTCAAGAAATCTCAATTTCGTGGTGATGGTGAATCTGGTGATATCAATTTTTGTATTTCGAAAGGAATATCGTTTCCATGTATTTTTTTTGCTCTATCAAAATGCTTCTATTTTTTAACCAAAAAGAATACGAGGAGAAAAATTATCTTCAAAAATCATGACCCGCCCACTAAACACACCCTTTATAACAACTCAAGAAATCTCAATTTCGTGACTTTCACCGTTTAGCAGTTATGCGGGAGAATTTTATTTCAATTTTATCAACTTTGGAAGGATATATCTCCCTTAATATACATTCTGAGGTATGAGTTCATTCATCAAACTATACTTATTTTTCAATTTACAATCACCTCCAGAAAGCTCGGTACACATTTTTGACTCACCCGTTACACATTTTTCTGATGCAACTGAACAATATCCCAAAATATACTACCTTCAAAGTCAGCTTATCTCATTTTCCTTTTCAGTTGTAAATTTCTGCTGAGTATGACAAGTTTGCTGCCAAAATATGTATTAAGGCTTGACTAACAATGTGGTAGGTTGGGGTATATATTTTATATCTGATTTTTTACCAGTCGAAGTTAGGGCTTTTGATTTAAAAAAACCTTGGGCTTTCAGAAACATCTAAATGACAATATATTTTTTACCACACTGTACAAGTTTCGACAGAATTTTCAATCTCTCTTCTATGGTGGAAATTTGAAAGATTCAATTTTGAAATATCTCATTAGATTAATTAATAATAATTAGAAAATGGTTCGAACTTACTATAGAGACATACGATCAGATACGTATAATGATAACATTACTGTCAATTTCCGGTTCAACCGGAAGTGCTACGTCCCTGGCGATGTTTCACATTGATTGTGTATTTTTATTGACATATTGACTGATGGTAATCCTGTTTTTTTTTAAATTTTATTCGAATGGGATCATCGAAAACTCGTAACGAACGGGTACAGGTTACGTCATAAACCCTGAGTATACAAGGATGGCAAACTATAGTGGCAAATAGTGTTGATATTAAAAAATATTAACGGGTATCAACAATGATTGAAAACCACGTGACAGATTACTTTGCAACCAAGAATACATTCGTATCTCTTTTAAGTGGGTGGAAAAGAGACACCGCATCAAAAATGCTCACGTGGCACTCACTCATTGTTGAAGACCTGGTATTATTACTCTCTTATAAAATTTGAGATTCATAGATAAACTCTACCTCTTCTCCTGTCTGTACATTTCTAGTAACAACAAATGCCTTCATATTCAATTTAATATGCAGCTTTTCTATAACTTCGTTTATAGTGATTTTTGAACAAATCCTTATGGTGCATCTTCTCATTTCAACATCAAGTACAAACGAAATGATTCCTTTGATTTTTAGGAGAATTTGCTCCAGGATTGCGGAATCATTCTGAAATAGAATGATGGACTCAAACTCAAATTTCATACTTCATAATCATTTAGACACATCATACATGGTGACCAGTGGCGGCTCCGTAGAGGAGGCAACGGAGGCTGAGCCTCCTCAGAGATTTTCCTTAAACTAATATTATCTATACTTTCTCATTGGAAGAACACCAAAATACATTTATTTTGATTTTATTTCCTGTTTTTAGTTAAATATTTTTGAATTGGCAACAGTGATTGCCCACGCATCACACGTTGAAGTCTGCAAATCACGCGTGAAATATTCAACTTGGCAACATCTATATGAGGCTAGACTCGCGCAATGCAATTGCACGAATACGCCCGAATAGCACGTGTTTGTCGTGTCGCTTCGCGAATTGCGGACAAACGCGAGTGCATTATTTATGTTTATGTTAGGTTAATGGTTAGGGGCTCTATAAACTTTTGAAAAATGAGTTTTAAACGATTGCGATATAGTGGAATACTTTTTGATGAACCCATTCAGTGCTTTGTCTTATGAACATAAATTGATTGTGAAAAACAAACGTCCGACACCGGAATTAAAAAATCTGATTGTAACAGGTAACAAACAAAATCGTTCGTTCAATTCTGATAATTATAAAAAATACGAGAAAAAATATATCTGGTTGACGGGATCTGAGGTAAGGAATAAGCTATTTCGTTGGTACTGCGTATTATTTTCAACCGATAAGTCATCATGTTGGGGGCGATTGGGATATAATGATTTGAAAAATTTGCCTCGCGGATTGGATAATCACTGCAAATCACAGGAACACATCTCTTGAAGTATTAAGTCCAGGTTAACTGGTAAACAGAATATCATTATAGTTGTTGATTTGGCTGAGTAGAGAGTTATTGTTTTTCACATCAAATCTCATATCATTCAGCCTCCTCTGTCATGAAAGTCACGAGCCGCCACTGATGGTGACATATTATTGGAATAAAGACAAATATTTCAAACCTTATGAGAGTTTGACATATTATACTATCGAATGGCACCAATAAAAAAATATAGGCGAGACCCTTTTTTTCCACCCAAAGTTCTACAGTGTCGCAACTATGACACATTTTTTGTGTGAAAGGCACAATCACGCGAAGTTCAATCATTTAAATTGTCTTGAAGTGGTTTACTTGATTTTTCGTTCGTTCTTTCACTTTCAAGATGAGATCCCTCGTCATTCAGAAGAATTAGGAAACAATCTGATATTTCAGAAATATATGTATCATGTATGCTCACCTTTGTTAAATTCATTAGATATAATGAATAAAGTTGATGTCTTTTGGCGATACCCCTTTTTCTACTACGTGTGTTCAGAGCAGGGGGTGCAGAATTCCTCAAAATTTCAGTGATGTCGATACTTCTGTGGTAAATTTCAAAGTTCTTATTTCTCATCCTAAAAAAATTAAGAAGTTTATAGGGTATCGAAAATATACTTTTTCCACCACTAGCTCTTGAACATGCCATGATTTACACCCTTTTCAAGTGCTAATACAATCAAGGTAGTTTTTCAACATTTTATGAACCACTATAGTCAATAAAGACATAGCCACCTAGCTCTGATATAATTAACCTGAATTCACTGTTCGTTATCCGAGATTCGCAGGAATGGCAATCTTATCTAGTATAGGTATTTATCAATATATCGGGGCCAGCGTAGCCTCGTGGTTGAAGCATCAGTATTCTATCCAAGTTGGATTGCCGGTAGGTGGGTTCGATTCCCACCACGACCGCAGGCATTTTTCTGATGGCCTAAGAAAATGTCTGGGATCACATGTTAAAAGGTAAGACCCCCGTCATTCCTTGCTCGCACAAATCTCTTGAAGACTTCTGAGGGATGCTCTTAAGGCGGCAACCGAATGATGGATAAGAACAATTTGAGAACAACAACAATTTTAGAACGACTTGTCATATGCTGTCATGGTCATGGTAACTTTAATCAGAAGTGAAAAGAAGTGCTTTCATATAGTGACAATATATAGGTCCATATTTCACGTTCACAGAACTATATAGTGATTGAAATAATTATACTGTTAGTGATGAAAAACACTTAATATACACCTTGGTAGTAAAGAATAATATTATATATATTCTTGGTCCCTGGGTAATACTGACATTCTTCACTATACCGTACTATTATCTCCCTATCTCCCTCTGAGAGTTTATGCCCTGAAATGGGTCGCTATCGAGATATAGGGCGTAGACGTATTTTATAGAGAATCTGTAAGTATACTATAACCAGAGATTATATAATCTCTGCTATAACTATTCAGTGATGAGCAGAAGTGCGGAACCATGCAAGATCTCATCTCGGTAACCGTTCGTTAGAATTCTTGAATTTTTGCACATGATAATTTCAATACATGGCGGATTTTAGAACGCTATCGTCAATATCTTTTTGTCAACTTCATTATTTCAAATGACACGCTTGTATATTTTCATAAAATTTGGAAGATTTTTCAGCGAATTCATTGATATATCATCATTTTCAATAACCACAAAGATATCTGAAAAAATCGACGAAGTATTATAAGATACTATAGCACAGCGGTCAAAATGGTTCCTCCTTTGGAGCGCACGAAAGGTAATCCCTATAATGTTCGAGGAACATCTCGCGTGCCATGGAAGGATAGGGAGGGGAAGTAGGTATTTATTTTTTTTAACTTCTGGAGATTGGGCATACTTCCATTGGCCAAGAATTCCAAAGCTTCTTTGCCGTTCTATAGACAAACGAATGCTGGAAAAGTGTTGTTCTAAATATGTCAAGATCGGCAACGAAAGGATGTAGGCACATACACATCATCCTGAACGTTTGGGCTGTTATTTACTCCAACAAGATTGTAGTATACCTACCTCCTTCTAGAATAAGTCTGAAAACAGACTGATACTTGATTCTGTTGATTACACAAGTGATTTCGGCGCTGTAGGAAAATTATATCTGGTTTTAGTAGAACGGGGCTCCTCCTCATTACGCTCACATTACTCGAGATCGCATAGACAGCTAGACGTTTCATGAAATATTGACTTGAAAATCAGGTACTATTGAAGGGCCTGCGCGATCTCCCGATTCACCACCACTGGACTATTTTCTATATGGGATTATTCAAAATCCAAAGTTTTTTTGAACCGACCAAATAGTTCGCCAGAACTAGCTGAAAGAATAACCCAAGAGATTTAAAAAAATAAACCAGGAGTAATTGCCATAATGTGTAATGTTATGAGGAAACTTACAGACTAGTCTACTGTCCCCTATTTATTCTTACTGTTTTCTATTGGTTTCAATTTGGTTACTTTGTGGTTGTTCCGATATATACCTATTCTTTTGTAAGTACCTATGTCCGTTTTCTTTGGAATTGAAAATATCTTATTCTTCGTTTCTGAATCGAATTTGTCAGATGTCGGTAGCAAGAATTTTGAATAAGGTTTTGATCATTTGGTTACTTCGTTCGTTTCTGCTTTTGATATATCTCTGTTAAAATGACAAATAATATATTTCAATGAATTCGCTGAGAGATTTCCTTTCAACATTCATAAAAATATATAGAATGTGCCATTTGGAATGACGTACACTTGACATGAATTTCAGAAAAACTGAAAAGGTGCCAACTATGGCGAAAACATTTTCAAATTTGCCATGTTCTGTAATCAACCTGTGCAAACATTCGAAAAATCTAACGAACGGTTACGTTACCAGATATTCAATGGGCTCCGCACCCTTGCTCATCACTGTATATTTACGATTGGTTAGTATAGGAACAGTTAGTATCGTTATACCAATCAATGATTGATTAATACGCATCTTTGAAACCTATCCATAATTCAATTAGTGACACTTCAACGATAAAAGTTAGGTGTTCGTGATACTGTTACTAGACAAATTCTTATTCTTGATTATTCTATACATTGATTTCGTTGAATGTATTGTCGTTATAAATGTTGTCCTGCTGTTTTCATTCAGGCTGTACCTATACCTCCTCTACTGAATCTATGATCAATTTCTGGATTTGACTACATGACAATCTTACTAATAAATCCCTATGGTATCTATACGTCACCCGTTAAAATTCTACGGATGTCAAAGCCATTCTCCTATTTCTCTAGTTTCTACATCAATGTACAAAACATTCTAGCCTTATGCTCTATAGTGTAACGTGACAACGTGACCCGTTGCTAACTCTTGATTTTCAACATTTCATATATAAGTATCCTTACCTATAGGTACTATTAACTTTACCTAATTGATAATGATTCTAGAGCTTCATAAATCCCAAATGTAGATAGTAAAATATAATGAGTTTCTTCATTGGAAACGAAATTGTCTAGAACATCCAAAGACAAGCTGATTGTTGTATTATTTTCACTTTCTAGTAGCATGGCTGCATATAAGATAATCTTTTTCTCCTGGGGAAATATAAAGGATGATTAGGATAATTAGATGAAGTTCTTGATGACTGCGTGTCATATGTATCTATTTGTCAATCCATAAATATAATGAACTATTTTTATAACAAGAATGATAATTTCAGATTATTATTTGTTTACAGATATGAATGATACCGGCTGTTCGGTAGTAAACATAACAGTGTGTACGATTTCAGCAACAACCTTCTAATCTGAATGCCGTCGACCGATTTTCAGAAACAAAAATTCCATATGGTTCTCAACGAGCTCTACTTCAGAATGTGAACAAATATGAAATAGGCCTGCTTTTGTTCAATTTCAAGTACGACTATTAGGCATTTTTAAAAATTTCAACATTCCTGCTTCTTCGATTCACACTGTATTAAAATCTATGGAGTTGATATAACCGGTGAGGTGGTGATTCAATGAAGAAACACTTAGAAAACTTAGACACAAAGTTTCATCATTGTAAGTTGATATTTACTGCTCCACATTTGAAGTGAGACAAGCAAAAACTTCTATCATTTTATTTATTCCACCTTTTCGACATGGAGACCTACTACGAGTGATATCTGAAAATGTGATCATTTTCGAAGAGTTTGGGATCACCCCGTTTCACCGGGAATTTTTTTTATGCTTTATTGAGGGCGATAAAATGACGAACAATGAGCTTTTTCGAACTAGTTTTGGATTCAAGAGGATTCATACAGGATGTTTGAATGTATAGAATTTTTCACAACATATTGCATTCTGATATGTTCAACCACCATAAACTCAACTTCAACAGAATTTTACATTGGCATATCTTCAACGCCATTACTACACAAAGTGTTGTACATTTTCGAATATAGGGAATGTAGAAATAAATTGAAATACACTCAGTTCCACAAGAAGTGACGCACTTGATATTTGACCTATCTTCTTAAAAAAAAAAACAAAAAAAATAGTAGGCTGATTTTTAGTTTTTTTTTCATTTGTTGGTAGGTAATGCATTTGTCTTAAAAAAAATAAAGAGGTGGACATTTTTTCAAAGCCTCCTTGATGGTGGTGGAATAACTCGAACCATGATTTATTCTAAATTTTTAGTTTTTACACCCTAAACGAAAGAGGCTTTTTTGCGAGCATTTTGTTTTTTTATTCGTTGATTTATCTCTAAAATTTTCCGAATTACAGCTTTTTTGCTGATACCTTACGCTTATCCCACAAATTGAATTTATTGAAGGATCAGAATACTCAAAATTGATTGGGTTGTACTCTGGTAGGATCACATTGTCTTTCAAAAATCAATTGCCGTTGCCATAGCAACTAATTTGTTGTATGCCTCCTTATTTGACCATTTGTCGTTGTGTCATTAATTAAGTGTCTTGTTTTATTGACTAAAATTACATAAAATGCCTCAAATAAATCCTGAACAAGTAGCAAGATCAGTTGCGTTAGTAAACGATGGGCGTAGAAAACGTTACGCCGCTCGTGCAGTGGGAGTTCATGAAGGACTGCTCGTAGAGCAATCCGCAAGTACGAACAAACAGTAAGCACCGCTCGGAGGGTCGGTTTTGGTCGCCCCCGAAAAACTTCTCCAAGAGATGATCGCTTCTTGTGATTGCGGATTTTACGGAATCGATCAAATACTGCGGTAAATGTTCAGCAAGATCTTCGCCAAATTCGTGATGTTGCAGTAAGTAAGCAGACGGTATGTAGACGTCTAAAAGAAGTTAATTCAAAAGCTAGGAGACCTGCAAAAGGTCTCAAATTATTGGCCGAACATGCTGCTAGAAGAAATTTTGTTGAAAATTATGGACAGTGGAATATTCCTGAATGGTCGAATGTCTTGTTTACGGATGAGTCAAGGTTTTGCCTTAACATGGTGGATGGAAGAAAAAGAGTGTGGAGAAGAACTGGTGAACGGTTCAATCAAAATTTAATAAAAGAATGCGAAAGTTTTAATGGTGGGTCCGTTATGGTGTGGGGAGGGATTTCAATGAATGGAAAGACACCCCTTCATGTTTTTCCGGTGAGGCAGTGCAGAGTTAGTGGGCAATAATTTTATATTGATGCAGGATAATGCCCGACCACACACCGCAGCAATAGTGCGAAACTTCTTAGAAGCTACTGGTATTACCACATTACAATGGCCTGCGAGAAGCCCCGATATGAATCCTATAGAAAATTTGTGGGATGAATTAGGGAGAAGGGTACGTTCTCGCGAGAGGTCTCCGGAAAGTCTCGCGGAAATGGCAGATGCATTAGTGGAAGAATGGGATCGTCTACCAATGAAAACGATAAGCAACTTAATTTCCAGTATGCCTCTAGATTAGAAGTTCTTAGAGTTGCTAGAGGAGGCAATACACGTTATTAAGCAGTCATCCTGATTTATAATTTTGTGTTTAATAAGAATGTTTTTTAAAATTATTGGTATCAGTTCATTTCATTAGAAATGTTTTTCTCGATAAATTCAGAAAGTTGGTAATCTGCATGGATTCAGCAAAAAAAGCGGTAATTCGGAAAATTTTAGAGATAAATCAATGAATAAAGAAACAAAATGCTCGCAAAAGAAGCCTCTTTCGTATAGGGTGCGAGCACTTTTTATGCCATTACTCAATTAACACACAGGGTGAGTCAAAAATTAAGAATAAATCATGGATCGTGTTATTCCATCACCATCAAGGAGGCTTTGAAAAAATTGTCACCTCTTTATCTTTGTTTAAAGACAAATGCATAACCTACCAACGAATAAAAAAAATAACAATCGGCCTACTATTTTATTTTAAGAAGATATGTCAAATATCAAGTGCGTCACTTCTTTTGGAACTGAGTGTATTATGAAAAAAATGTCGTTAATAATTATTATCAACACAATATTTATAATGAGAAAATGATAAGTATATAAAATTAACATGGGGCGGTATCATGATGAATCGTTGCCCCACGTTGGTTATCTTGAGAGAGAGTACTTATGAATACTCTTCAGTATCAATAAGACATTCATTGTGTTAGGGAAGTTGTCGTTCCAGTTGCCCAAAACTGTTGGTGACAATTTCATACTGGTTGATGACAATAATAATGAACTACCACATCGTGCGAGAATTGTCACTGGAGTTTGAAGACAACATAATATTGCCTAAAAAAAAAACATTTTCTCTGTCACACGTCTTATTGAGCATATAGTAATTTCGAACGAGAATATCTTCGTAATCGTAATCTGAAAACCATGGTTTGTCTGACAAATTCGATGATAGCCGGTATGTTTGAAAATGTACAACACATTGTATAGTGATAGCGTTGAGCAGGATAAGCTAATCTGAAGTTCTGTTGAAGTTGAGTTTATGTGGGTTGAACATCAGAATGCAATATATTGTGAAAAATTATATATCACAACTTCCTGTATGGACCTTCTTGAATCGGAAAGCATTTCGAGAAAACTCATTATGCTTCATCTTATATCGTCCTCAATGAAACCTAATGAAAATCCCTGCCAAACGGAGCGATCTCAAACTTGCCGTAAATTGCAATGTAATGTGAAAAATTCCATACATCGAAACATCCTGTATGAATCCTCTTGAATTCAGAACAATTTCCGGAAAACTCATTGTCCTTCATTTCATCGCCCTCAATAAGACATAAAAATAAATCCCGGTAAAACGGGGTGATCCCAAACTTTTCGAAAATTTTCACATTTTCAGATATCACCCTGTAAGTCTTCATGTCGGAAAGGTGGAATAACAAAAAAGTACTGACGTTTTACTTAATGGAATGAGCTATCAGAATCTTGAAAGAAATTGGAAATTGGTTGATCCAATTAAAAGTTTTTGACGGTTTGAAAATGATAGAAATGTATCCTTGTCTCACTTCAAATGTGGGGCAGTTTAGTACATTGAATTTTCGTTTCAAATAATCGGTCGATGGGTTCCAAATTATATGTAGATATACAGGGTGAGTCATTCGTGTGGAAAAGTGAGATAAAGGCTTTACTGTTCGCGATAGATGAACAAAAATTTCAGAGATGATCTAGGATCATAAGCAGCACATTTCCGAATTATTTCGATTTATACAGGGTGACTGAGAAATGCGTGGCGTATCAAAGTTATACTTTTTCTTATGGGACACCCTGTATTTCATTGCATTTTCGCATTCTCCTTTGTGAGCTGATTTCATCAATGCATCACACTTGGGGTCTAGCAAGAATGATTACAGAGATATAGGGTGTTCAAAATCGGGATTTTTCAACTTTAGGATTTGTTTGTGTGGAAACCCTTCATTATCGGCCAAAACGGCTTTCATGTCCCTATCCCAACTTTTGAGTTACTATCTACTGACATTTAATTGGAACAAATACAGGGTGGTTCAAGATTCAGCATTCTGATCACCCTTGTATCTGTTTCAATCAAATGTCAGTAGATAGTAAATCAAAAGTTGGGATAGGGACATGAAAACCGTTTGGGCCGATAATGAATAGTTTTCACACAAACAAATCCTAAAGTTGAAAAATCTCGATTTTGAACACCCTATATCTCTGTCTCTGTAATCATCCTCGCTAGACCCCAAGTGTGATGCATTGATGAAATCAGCTCACAAAGGAGAATGCGAAAATGCAATGAAATACAGGGTGTACCATAAGAAAAAGTATAACTTTGATACGCCAAGCATTTATGAGTCACCATGTATGAAACGAAATAATTTGGAAATGTGCTGCTCATGATCCTAGATCATCTCTGAAATTTTTGTTCATCTATCTCAAGCATTAAAGTCGTTATCTCACTTTGGCACATACATATAAATAATAAGATAGATGAATGAACAATTTTTATGATCACGTAAGTTCTGAGATCATATTCGCTGGGATCATCATCTCTGTCGGAATCTGTCATATCCTGAATATACCAAGAAACATATTCACATCGCTCGTCAATTTCTTCACAATTACATTGTTGGGTGAACATTGAGGTTGTACAGCACACACTAGTCGAATTTACGCCACAACCCTATTCCATATTGATCATTCC